CCATCTACTGAGTGGCTCCATGCCGCTGGCTTCCAGGACTTCCAAGCCACTCCAGCGCAGTTCACGGAGTTGAGACGTCGTTACGAGAAGACTCAGAAGGAAGCCGATGAAATCCGCGACTCGGCATTAAATGCGTGATTGTTGAAGCTCCAATTTCATTTTTTTACTATTGGCATCGTTTACTTCTTATTTTTGAGTGACTCTATTGAGTCCTGTGTGGATGGCTGTTTGTTAGAACAATCAACTCATCCGATGCGCCTTGCTATGCTTAATGCCTATATTTGGTTTAACCCTCGCTATGTAGTGGAAGATGTTTCTCCAAATGATCCAGTAGAGATATTGAGATTTACGTCAATGGTAGAGAGGTGGCACGAACTAGGCTCAGGACATCGTCATCGTATCGTACACCGCCGTAGCAAGTTGTGATTGGCAATTATATCACCGATTATCGTGCGGAATGTTCGTCGTTATGGCGCATCTTGGGATGGTAACCTAGCAACCACGGTTGAGAAGGTTGATTATATAGCTACTCCCCCTGAGGGAATTGATTATTATACTAGGGCATAGCCACCCCGCCTGAGGGAATTGATTATTATACTAGGGCATAGCCACCCCGCCTGAGGGAATTGATTATTATACTAGGGCATAGCCACCCCGCCTGAGGGAATTGATTATTATACTAGGGCATAGCCACCCCGCCTGAGGGAATTGATTATTATACTAGGGCATAGCCACCCCGCCTGAGGGAATTGATTAATATACTAGGGCATAGCCACCCCGCCTGAGGGAATTGATTATTATACTAGGGCATAGCCACCCCGCCTGAGGGAATTGATTATAAGCCTAGGGCATAGCCACCCCGCCTGAGGGAATTGATTATTATACTAGGGCATAGCCACCCCGCCTGAGGGAATTGATTGTAATGGAAAAATGTATCGAAGTGAGAAGTTTCCGGGGGTGCAGCCGATAGCATTCGTGTGTTATAAAGACATCACCCTTCATCTTTTGCCAGCAATTGGCTATTCTCAAAATATATGTTCTTTGATGAAGATGATCTCCCTAACCTAAGCCCTAGTAGCCTCACGCTGTATATCAAGAAAAATGGTTACGAGATGGAAGGTATCAGAATCGAACTTCCTACGACGGCGACCATGCAGGAATTGTTCGATAAAGCACAAGAATGCCTGGGCTTGGACTTGCCGGTCGAACGCGTATTCTTCAGCAACGGGTTCGAAGTATCAGAAATGAGTCATATAGAACAGAATGAGGTGCTCTATGTGAGTACAGGTGGGAATTTCAGATCACCCACACGAAACCCGTTGTCTCGGAATGTGGCCAACTACATACTTGGTGAAACTCTGGGTGAAGGCGGCTATGGTGAAGTCGTGAAGGCTGTTGACTCAACCACGAAAGAGGAGTTCGCTATGAAATTAGTGAAGAAATCTAGCTTCAGCAGGTTTGAAGACATACAGCGAGTCTACACTGAGATCGACACGTTGCGAGCTCTTCGTCATCCTAACGTCATCCGCATGGTCGACGTTGTGGATCATCCAGAGTATATCTGCTTCGTGATGGAGCTGGCAAGCGGAGGAGAGTTGCGACGGTTCGTTGAAAGGCATGGCCCTCTTGATGAGAACAGTAGATAACAAACGTGACACTTCCGAAGGTTATTGACATCTCACTCAGTCTCCCGGCATATATTCAATCAAATAGCGAAAGCAGTTCACTACTGTCATTCGAAACGGGTCGTCCATAGAGACCTCAAGCTGGAGAATATCCTCATGGATGAGCACAACTGCTGCAAGATAGTTGACTTCGGTCTAGCCGTAAGCTTTCAGCCCGAGCCACGCTGATGCAATATGGCTCTAGGACTTCGCTGTGATCCCCGAGATAATGGTCACAGATGCTGGCACTGAGGCGTACTTGGCGCCTGAGGTCTATAGAGGTGAGCTTATGCTCTGACCGAACTCCTGGTCTCGTTCTTCCTAGGGGAGAGTGTGGGGAACGACCCCTTCAAGATCGACGTGTGGTCCCTTGGCGTCATCCTTTATGCCCTGACTCACGGCAAACTACCATTCGAACGCCCTGCGAAGGAGGTCTGCGAGAGACTCGAGCGAGTAAGTCGACCAGAGAGAGGTCCCGGCTGCTGGCATTTTCTTTCGCGTTGAGTCCACCTCCGTCTCGTTTGGGTATCGATCGGCCACGCTCTCTCTCTGTATGGACTCATCTGGCTCTGCTGCAGCTGTTTGCTACAGGAGTTCTAGACGTATCTTTTTCTTTCTTCTCGAGGTGGGCCCTGATTTCAAGGCCGATGCAAGTTCACCGCTGCGAAGCCTCATCAGGAGGATGCTCACGCCCAAGGTTAGAAAGAGATGCTCAATGGATGATGTAGGCTTTATATTTTTCGAATCTCGATGTCACGTCCTGCCTCATGCCGCTACCGTTTTGATATTCCCTAGACCAAGGTCTAGCTATTGCTCAGATTACAACAGACCCGTGGCTGAGTCGAGGACGTTACGTTCGCTGCACTCTAGTTCCGCGTGGGTATCAGCCGAGCTTCTCATGGTAAGTTGACACACAATAGTTTCTCATTTCTTCAGAAATGCCTGATGCTCGCGTGGTGATCCAAGAGATGAATTCAGGAAAGATAGAGAAGCCGCTCCTGAATGACCATAGTTCATAGCCGCCTTCATCCTTGGTGACTTGTCGCGTTCTGCAAACATCTGAGGTTCGCTCGGCCGCTAGAGGTATACTCAACCCAACAGTACACACGTCTTGTCTACAACAGCAAGGAAGGGAGGAAGGGCAGCTGCTGGTGCTGCCCTGCATGGGCTCTGTCATTCCGCACATCGGAAGTTTGTCGTATCAGCATCGGGGCCTTAACAAATCCGGAATCCTCCCTGTCACTAGTGAATAACTATTAGTATTTCAGAACCAGACCTTCCTTCATGAACAAGAGACGTCTTTCATCCTGCGGCTACGGTTACACTTTCCGTCACAACCGTCCGTCCCGAATCTTCCACATCACTCTGCACCTCATATTTGAAAAAAGTCTCCGCGGTAGAGGAAACGTTTAGAGGGTCTTTCTCAACCACATCCGTTGATTCACGACGATCGAACTTGTCCAAAGCCAGCTGTATTTCAGCATTGATAAGTAAACTCATCCGTGTGATGAAGCTAGAGCCAACCTCAAGTGCTTCTGCTTCTACATCTGTCACCAATTCCTTCGTATTGGCACAGGTCATTTGCTGGTCTCTGGTTTGTTCACACTCCGTTTCACTGTATGAATCATTTCGAACTTCATCGTCTGCGGTGACCACTACGCCGTCTGAGTTTCTACTGCCCCCATACGTCGACCCTGACCGAGATTCCTCACTCACAGCCAGAGTGCTGTCTGCTTCCGCCCGAACGGACTGTGGGTCTCCACTCGGAGCACTGGGCAAATTATCGAAAGTTTCAATTGTCTTCTGGACAATCCCGCCGAAAACTGGTCTCACATGTTCGAGTCGGTTCCCCTCGTCTTGCGAAGATGTGCTCATGCCAGGCTCCATCATAACTAAGTTAACTCCATGATTCTCTGTGTGTGGTCATTCTTGCCCAGGATTTGTCCCCCCGTGTCCCCGTCAACGGGAAACGACTTCCCTCGCCCATCAGGGGTTCTGGTCCCTTGCGGGAAGAAGCCGACTATCTTAGTGAATACATCCTGATCTGTAGATTCATCGCGGACAATAGCCTGCCTTCTCTCATTTTCACCTTCGCACATTTCTATCAGAGAGTTTTAAATTCACTGTGTTGGTTGATCTCGACTCCTTTCGATAGCTGCTTTATGGGATCTGGCGAATCCCCAAAGTTGTCTCTCGAGTTTTCCCGCAATTTCGTACTGATTAATCACTACCATTGTCTGTGTCGTCCCGTTCGGGCGAGCGCGTCATAGATGAAACGCATGACAATGGAGTGATATTGCTAGAAAAGGTTTTTGTAAGCCCACCAAGGCCCTACACTTGTGTTACAAGGAGTGGTTAATTCTATAGGTATAAAATGTCATCCACCTTCTGCTTCCTCTTTATCACGGTGTTCTCGTTCTACTCGATTATGTGATTTGGTATAAGGAGTTCTAATTTCAGTTGATGCGAGGGTTCGAGACGAAGCATCCAGTAGTCGAGTGGACGAATGTTAGGAAAGATACCAAGTAATTCTACGGAGGAGCACTGCTTGTGTCATCATGTGATTTTAGAATCGACTATCCTGACTCAGGATTCCTGATGGTGATGAACTTATGGAGAAGTTCCAGGATCCAAGCCAGGCTGATAAGACATCAGGTACTATCGACATCTGTCATTAGTACTTTATCCTGTGCCATGGCGATTCCGTCCAACTCACATACCAAGTAAAGGCTTGACTCATGCACTGCCTCTGAAGCTTGGTAGAGCATTTGCCGATCTGCGTGGCCGAGTGTTACGCTCTGTCGACTTCGAGCATTTCGAATCTAAAAAAGGGCAAGGGAAAGGAGGTAGAGCCGGACCCAGCTACCAGGCATACCTTTTTCCAAAGCCTTTCCACGCGGGCCGAACATTTCTGGTTTTTATGTTCTAATCTTTGTTTGTCTATCCTACTTTGTTGTGAAGCTATCTCGTCCTTAAGTTCGGGTAACTAATAACACACATTAGGAACCAACAATCTAAAGCCCTAAGAGTTGTAGTCCCGTTGAATTTTATATTAGAGTTTCGAAGTTTGCAGTTCTCCGCACGAGGGTTCTCCGCAGTATCGCACGAGGGTGAGTGGTGCCGAAAGTACATGGTGATACTTCCACGTACTAACACAGTCGTAAGTACCTCCATATGCTTACCATGGCTTTCAACCTCGCCACCGCTTGTTTCTTATCCTGCGATTCATTAGTGTAAGCTTGCTTCTTTTCGAGGAGTCCATTTTTCAACTGATACACTCAACTGATTACTCTCGGCGCATACATACTCACCTTTCTGCCAGTCACATCATTGTCGGTTGCGAATCTATTTGTCGATACTTACACCCTTCATACACTGACCGATCATATTACAACGGTCACATCGATAATCTTACATGTTAAGGAAGTGTGTTGTCATACTAGGGGTTGTGCAGTACCAAGAACTGACAGGATGCGTCTTGAAGAGCATCCACAAGAGACATGCAAATTTCATCTGTAACACATGTATTCCTTTGTAGCCTCGAGACTGACCATATACTTGATTTTCCACCTTCAGCTAGTCTAGCTGAAGTTCTAAGAACTGCCGCAACCACGCTCAACATATGAGATCGAAGGCCGCCAGTATCGAGTGGAATCCCTTCAAGCGATTTGAGTAATGAAGACTCATCGATCATCTTGTGCAGTAAGAAGGCCTCCTCCGAAATGAAGAATTCATGGAGAGTAACAACGATGCCACGTACTTTGCTCCTAGCTTGCGACGTGACCAGTGCTTTGGACCAATCAACACGGAACAACGAGGTTATCAGTGATAACTTATCACATCCCAGTTGAATGTAGTGCAAAGCATATTTCCTTGTTCAAGAGTTGAGATGGAGGCCTCAAATCTCGCCATCTCATCGAGAATTCTCATAAACATAAATTTTACAAAAGAATTTTACATCCATATCTATATCTAAAAACCATACTATCCACTATTTCTGATGTTAATGACTCCAAATTAGCTACTACAGATCTAGGCGTTACAATGATTACAATGTATTTCATATTTTGATATCTCTTATCTATGATCTCCTTATATTTCTTTCACTTATTTTCAAATTCCTTCATTGTGTTAATGTCCAATTGAGTAGCTCCTACTTCTACTACATAAATTTGGTCTTGATGTCTAAATACAATATCTGCAAAGCAGTGCTACTGCAGTTTTCGGAAACACATTGCTTGCTCTGAAGCTGCAATTGTCTCCATAAGTACTGTCAAGTTGTAGATCTCAACAATCGGTAGCGTTCGTAGGCTAACAGACTCAGGAGATTCGAAACGAAGCTTACTGCGAAGCACCGCAGAGTGCATGTACTGCCCACATAAAGCGCGGAAGGACGATTTCCGTCTCTACGATCACTTCGGTCGCCACCACCCGGGGCAACCGGAAGCATACAAGCCCAAGAAAGGTCAAAGCTCTCTATTAGACTTCTTTGCGCCGACAGGGAGCGGTGATAGGGGCGCTCGGTCAGCCGGGGTTGCAAGCGCTCCCAGCGGACATGCTAGCTCAGAGTCATCCGGAAATAACAGTGGTATTCGGATCAAAACCATGGGGAGCAAAAATGAAGCCGCCTGTACACAGGAGATTGGGAGAGAGGGGCAATTGGATAAAGCATCATTCGAGTTTAATTGTAAGGACAAAAGCCTGAATCGAACTTGGGTGTTCAGAATAGAAGCACAGTGCTCTACCAGCACACCAGATCGAGTTACGAATGATGAATAACCCAATTGCCCAGGCGGCCTGGGCCAGGCCCGCATAACCGAGAAATGGTGCGATGGTTTCCAACGCGACATAACGGATGCTGGGCCTCTCCTGTACGGGCGGGTTGGGATGGGAAGTAAAAATTGAGAGAACGTTACTCTCAACTACCAAAGAACATGAGTTCTGCGTTCATAACTCATCTTAGTTCCTATCCTGATGAATCACGCAGTTCCATGAACCCATAACACAAAACCAAGTTGCGCTCGGCAGAAACGCAAATGTCATCTGAGATGATTCATCTCCTGTGCGTGGCTATTTCACCCTCCGTACCTAAATGGTACTCCTCAGGATCGCTGTGCCATGGAAGCTGAGGGTAGGTCAACGGCTTATATGTTTTAAGACTTATCATAGTATGATTATCATGCACGATGTATAGCGCGTCAACTACATCTCAGGCCATTTGGGAAGTCCCGAACCATCCGCTGTATCCATCGAGTGCCCAGCAGCACCACAGCCGAATCAGACAGCATCTCCGCAGCCCGTCGCTCCTGTTGTCGATGTTACGAGAGGTGGATTGGCTACACTTGTAACGGGCTCAAAGCGAAAAGCTGGATGAGATCAAAGCTCTACTTAACCAACACCTGGCTAACGACGCCCGCCCCCAACGTGAACTCGACTTCCGCCTCAGAATCGCTAACATCGGCCCCTATAAATTAGACGATGACTTGCGGACGGTCCAATGCACGGTATGCGATACCCACAAATGGTCTATTCCCAGGAATGAGCGTCCTGGCTTCTTCGATAGATTAGGCGTATTCAGCGTCGGAGATCCGATACCCTTTGCAGAAAGGCAACGTGATCTGATCGCTTCTCTCAAGGACCATCTCAAAGTACCGACTCACAATAGATGCATCAGTATTGGCGAGACGGGCAAAACGCGTACGCGACGGAGCGAGGCTCTGGCGGTGGCTCGCCCTGCTTATTTCAATGTTGTCGGAGGTCACAGCCACAGAGAGTCTGAGAGATTGCTGGCCTTGCTGTGAGACCGAATCCGGTCTCACAGCTACGCTCCTGGAGTCTCTCATATCCTTCGGGCTCACGGGAGAATCTCTCCGGGACAACCTCGTGACTTTGGCCACGGATAGAGATTAGCATGCGCTGAAAGTTGGCGCAAGATTAGCAGGGGCCCTTGGCTGCGAGGATGATCAGATTTTCCATTTGTGGTGCATAGCACATCGAATTGAGCTTTCCGTCGACGATTCGCATAAGGGCGTCACTGATATGCGCAGCATCCTACATCCAGCGATGCCTTCGAGACACGGCAATGCCTATGAGAACCTCGAGGCACAAGCTGAAGAGCGAGAACTTCCGTTTGTAGTGCACTTATCCTTTTCATCGACCAGATGGGCGTCAAGCGAGTGCCGCGTCTACCGCAGCTTCATCATCAACTATCGTACCATATGTGAGCTAGGTGAGCGAGTCCTGTAACTTCTGTGGAAACTGTATTGGAGCTGTCTGACAGCGGTTGTCATGTGTGACAAACGCGTAATCGTAACTCACAGTGAGTTTCGATTACACGTTTGTCGCACGCATGAGTTACGCTCAGTTGTCAGGTACATTCCCTCAGGTCAAGAAAATAGACTGGGTGCTCAAGTTGAACTTGACAAGTTCTCCGTCAGCCATGACGCTCTCAACAAAACAGCCTCAGCATCGTGCACGTCTCAAGCTGTCAACCGTCGGCTCTGGCAGGTGCTCACATCGGTGCATCATCTCCGTGACGAAGTTATTATTGCAATCAGCTGAGCTGAGAAAGTTCGATGATGCAATTGTTGATTCTGGGGATCAGAGGGCTGAAGTTCAGCCGCTGAACGATGTTCAGATGTTCAGTGAACATATCTGGTTTGTCGATCGGGATAAGTTCAAGATGGACTCATATCCTACGCTCGCTGGCATTGACTTCGTCGGTAGGTCTTGGAAAACCGTGAAACTTGACCCTATATCACCGTGGTTATTCAGAATAGCCATTGGGTTCTGCGTAAGCTGGAATGACCAACTGATCGCAGCGCTGGGGAAGCCGCTCTTTGTACGCCTACAGGCTGTAGGCGTACGAAGAGCGCTAGGCTGCACCGGCATGGCCTTGGACGGGCTCGTATCCGATCCTCACTTCCAGGTGAGCTGCTTGGGATTGATTTGCTGGTCTACACTTCGGTCTCTACTGAATCTCTCAAGCTGAGCCCATGGAGTGCCGAAGTCGACACTGCCTTGCAGAGCGTCGGTAACCCTCGCAGTGATGTCCTTGCTGATTACTTACCGACACCTAAGTACATCCTGATGATTATATGTGCGGCAACCTATAGCCTATAGGCTATAGGATATGGACTCGTACTCTCTGTACCAAGTCTTCGGCCGAAGTTGCGACGGTCCTCGGTGAGCCCTCGGATGAGATTTCGCCCAGTCTGCCTGGTTGACGGTAGAATGTTTGCCAATTTGCTTGTACGTGGGATGTTTGTGGCAGGTCCCCACCAGCAGCGTGGCCAGAGGCATTCAGCTGCTGATGTTGCCTCCATTCTCGCCCAATTTGGCCTTCTACGAACGCTGCCACAAGGAGTATCAGAATGGGTTGAGACTCTCAACTTGAGAGCCATGCTGCTGGAGACCAACTCACCGACTTTCTACTGGTGGAAGTTTTACAGCCTGGTCACCCACGCTTACAACAACTCCCCATTACCTGGCTCCTCTTTAGCTGCTGCTGCTGCTGTCACCCCTAATGACTTGTATCTTGCCAAGGGATCTACAACGTTGCTACCCGGTGGAGCTGCTGATCTCCCTTCATCGCCCGCTGCCGAGCACTTCATTGAGGCGTTTGAAGCTATTCCGGGAATAGTATTCCCCCCCTCCGAGCTGGCCTCTAACTTAGAGGCTCTAAGGTAAACAACAACGTAGCTCAAGTTGCTGCAACTGCACGAGAGTCTCTTGGAATAAGCTTGAAGTTGTATCAAGCCGATTGGGAACTTAGGCGAGTAGCATCGCGCAGGTCATGGGTTCTCTCTTCGGTTGGTAGGCGTGTCGGCCCTATTGAGCTCGGTTCCTGGGTCTAAGTTTGGCGGGCAGCCCACTTTAAGACTGACACTAATTGGATGGGTGACCCATCATGGGTCCGGCCCGTGTTATAGTGTATGTCCTGTTGACACCTATCTAGTTTATTGGTTGGGATCGAGAGATGATGGTGCCGATGGAAGATCGTCTACGGAGTCTGGTTACAACCTGATGCCTATTCGGCAGGCTACTATACTCGCAAATCTTGACGATCGCTACAACTAAATCATCTTCAGAGCAAGATGCCATGCAACGTGCACTTTCGGCCCGCCAGCAGATCGTATGTCAACCAGCACAGTGCTGGTAGTGACTACCTACTCCACGAGACATCTTTAATGCTGCTGCCCTCAACAGTCTATTGCATCAGACTGCTAGCGGATGAAGACGATTGATGATGAAAATTGTATTATGTTCTGAACTCTGAACCATCGGAGCGTATGGAGTGAAGCCAGTGGTGTAGGATGATCCTACTAGGATCAGCTATCTGCGAGAACAGCGTCTGCACTAGCCCGATAGAGAAGTGGTCGATTGCAGAATCTGGGGTCCCGGACACCGAGTCCGTGAACTCAGAATCTCATACTTCGAAGTTCTGCCACAGTTCATGCTGAATCGGTCACTGACAAAATTTCAATTGCGCGCATCCCGACCTCGAAGTCCCCGAGCATGGAGAGCGGTAGCATGAATCAGAATAGATCGGGAGGGATGTCGAACATAACGTTATCCCCTTCGTCGGTTTCGTCATCGGGTTGCTGGTCAGTGGCAGAATCAGCATCCGATTTATGCGCACACTCTAAGAGGAGACGATATCTTCCCTCAGGGTGAAGTCACTATTATCCGCATGTTCTCAAGTCTTAAAACTGTACAATGATTGTACTACAATCGAGTTTCATCATGCCGTGTGGTGTTTTGCGTTGTCTCTGAGGGAGGGCGTAAGTTCCGGGTGATCACCCTTGGGGAACGAGTACCACAAACTTTGTGGCACAAAGAGTCGAAGAAACCAAGAAAAGCGCTCTTTCGTACTGAGATGATCTCAGTGAGATCGACACGTTGCGAGCTCTTCGTCATCCTAACGTCATCCGCATGGTCGACGTTGTGGATCATCCAGAGTATATCTGCTTCGTGATGGAGCTGGCAAGCGGAGGAGAGTTGCGACGGTTCGTTGAAAGGCACGGCCCTCTTGATGAGAACAGTAGACAACAAACGTTACACTTCCGGAGGTTATTGGCATCTCACTCAGTCTCCCAGCACATATTCAATCAAATAACAAAAGCAGTTCATTATTGTCATTCGAAGCGGGTCGTCCATAGAGACCTCAAGCTTGAGAACATCCTCATGCATGAGCACAGCTGCTGCAAGATAGTCGACTTCGGTCTAGCCGTAAGCTTTCAGCCCAAGCCACGCTGATGCAACAGTAGCTCTAGAACTTCGCTGTGATGATCACAGTGTGATCCCCGAGACAATGGTCACAGATGCTGGCACTGACTCAGTGCCACTGAGGCGTATTTGGCGCCTGAGGTCTATTGGGGTGAGCATATGCTGACCGAGCTCCTGGTCTCGTTCTTCCTAGGGGAGAGTGTGGGGAACGACCCCTTCAAGATCGACGTGTGGTCCCTTGGCGTCATCCTTTATGCCCTGACTCACGGCAAACTACCATTCGAACGCCCTGCGAAGGAGGTCTGCAAGAGACTTGAGCGAGTAAGTCGACCAGAGAGAGGTCCCGGCTGCTAGCATTTTCTTTCGCGTTGAGTCCACCTCCGTCTCGCTTGGGTATCGATCGGCCACGCCCTCTCCCTGTATGGACTCATCTGACTCTGCTGCAGCTGTCTGCTACAGGAGTTCTAGACGTATCTTTTTCTTTCTTCTCGAGGTGGGCCCTGATTCAAGGCCGATGCAAGTCCACCACTGCGAAGCCTCATCCGGAGGATGCTCACGCCTAAGGTTAGAAAGAGATGCTCAATGGATGATGTAGGCTTTATATTTTTCGAATCTCGATGTCACGTCCTGCCTCATGCCGCTCCCGTTTTGATATTCCCTAGACCAAGGTCTAGCTATTGCTCAGATTACAACAGACCCGTGGCTGAGTCGAGGACGTTACGTTCGCTGCACTCTAGTTCCGCGTGGGTATCAGCCGAGCTTCTCATGGTAAGTTGACACACAATAGTTTCTCATTTCTTCAGAGATGCCTGATGCTCGCGTGGTGATCCAAGAGATGAATTCAGGAAAGATAGAGAAGCCGCTCCTGAATGACCATAGTTCATAGCCGTCTTCATCCTTGGTGACTTGTCGAGTTTTGCAAACATCTGAGGTTCGCTCGGCCACTAGAGGTATACTCAACCCAACAGTACACACGTCTTGTCTAAAACAGCAAGGAAGGGCAGCTGCTGGTGCTGCCCTGCATGGGCTCTGTCGTTCCGCACATCGGAAGTTTGTCGTATCAGCATCGGGGCCTTAGCGATTCCGGAATCCTCCCTGTCACTAGTGGATACCTATTAGTTTTTCAGAATCAGACCTTCCTTCATGAACAAGTAGTTCATGAAGAATCCCCTTAGTCGCGACCAAAGAGCACTTCCGGGTGGACTGCGGCTACGGTTACCACTTTCCGTCACAACCGTCCCGAATCTTCCACATCACTCTGCACCTCATATTTGAAAAGAGTCTCCGAGGTAGAGGAAACGGTTGGGGATCTGTGTTGGTTGATCTCTGCTTCATGGGATCTGGTGAATCCCCAAGGTTGTCTCTCGAGTTTTCCCGCGATTTCACATTCAAGATGCTTTTCTGTTGCTGTACTTTCCTCACATGAGCAATCCATTCAGCAACAACGTTGTTGTTGTATTGATCACTAGTGGGTTCGCTACGGGTCGCCACTGACTCTTTCTCTTCATCATCCGAGCCTCCATAAGCCCTCATTCCTCTCTGTAAAGGAGGTAGCCCGCTCTCGAGCACCTTTGCCCGACTGAGTTCTCGGCCGATCGAGTCTTGAATGTTTTTTAATCGTTGATTGATTCCAGTTCGACCAAGACTCCCGAAAGGGAGGTCCGTTGCACGGTACAGGCCGACGACGACGACCACGGGTTGATGGTCAGCCATGGTCTGGCATCCGATGGACACCGTCTCCCCTGTTGCGAATCTGGAAATGATAACTGATAATGCGCCTCTGATGGAATCGACACTGAAGCGGATTATATTGAGCATAACCAGAACGAGTCGTTTCGTGTCATCCTAGCGACCGGCTGCGATATGCCGAACAGAAACGATGAGATTCTTACGCCTCTCCCACAGCTGCTCTTCCTGACAATATCGTTTGTGATCCCACTCAAATCATCACCGTCGCAACGTGATCTACGTGGTGGAAAGAGTCATCGATTTTTGGGCGTGCGCGGTTTTCATAATTGGTCCCGATCAACAACATAACTATACGGAATGACGTGAAGAGGAAGCTGTGCAGACTCTAGGGAGCATATTTGAACGATGTTGGATGCATAGTCTTATCTATGCCAATTGATATTACATTGCATCCCTCTGTTCCCTTGAAGACAACAGACGCACGAGAAGTTAGCACACGGTCATCACGGAAATCATTGCCTTCACCGTGTTTTCCAGTCTGAATCTGTTCCGCTCAGGCCTGTGGAGTGTTACTCTGATTGAGCGCACCTTTCAGTAGTATTTTTATTCCCTGCTACTGTAGTCGTCGGTTAACATGCAAATTCTAGCTTGCATCCTGTACAAGTACGAGCCGGACAAGGCTACTGAGATATCGACATTCTATGACCTGCACAAAATATCGTAATATTCGAAGAGCGGGAGTGGAGGAGCCTCTGGGTGACTCGCAGATATTTCCAGCGGAAAACTGTAAAGGAGTTCATCAAATTTCACGCTCGAGCGATCGTCTCCCGAACTGCCAAGGGACAGAGGCAGAGCGTTCAGTTCGAACAGAACATCGGCAAGTGTCATGTGTAGGTGTTGGTTAACGAGGTGCCCGTCTTCGTACTCATCCGGTTCAGATACGTCGCTCCGGATGGCTTAGGGGCTGCATGCCTCACAGACGGGGAGTATCCTATGCGCGTTGCTTTCGCGTTCATCAGTGAGGTACTTGGGGTTAACTTTCGAATAAGGATGGGGTAGTTATCAATCTGACTGTTAGTGATGGTATAAAATGTCATCCACCCTCTGCTTCCTCTTTATCACGGTGTTCTCGTTTTACTTGATTATGGTGATTTGGTATAAGGAGCTCTAATTTCAGTTGATGCGAGGGTTCGAGACGAAGCATCCAGTAGTCGAGTGGACGAATGTTAGGAAAGATACCAAGTAGTTCTACGAAGCTGCACCGCTTGTGTCATCGTGTGATTTTAGAATTGACTATCCTGAGGGTGATGAACTGATGGAGAAGTTCCAGGATCCAAGCCAGGCTGATAAGATCGCCCAGATTCAGAAGGAGCTGGACGATGTTAAGGGCGTCGTCATCAAGAGTACTACTTGGGAGGTTTCGGTGACTATTCGTGTTTGGTTCTGTTTGAGACCGTATGTGCTTTTCCTCGCAGGCATGGACGACGTATTGCGAAGGGGAGAGACTTTGGACAGTCTGATGCAGAAGTCTAATGACCTCAGCAACACCTCGTAATATGTCAGGAATTTCATGGCGAAGTGAAGCGTTTTGTGTGTAGATACCAGTTCTACCGTACTGCGAAGAAGAACAATCAGTGCTGCAAATATTACTAGGTCACAGTCTTTCTGTATAACTACACTCCTTCTGGTATCGTCTCAATAGGATTGTGTTATTAGTATACATGCAAGTATCGTTATGAAGTGGTGTAATGGATAGCAACTTCGATTAGTAAGCCCGGTGGACTAAGGTTCGATCCCCGGTCGGGGCGTGAAGTATATACATTCGGGTGTTCTTATTCACTACAAGGGGCTCCCACAGGAGAGTTCAGAAGTGGTTACTTTGAACACTAAGCATTCTGGTTGTTAAAGGAAACCATGCTATTTAGTTTTAAAGTCATGACCCAGGAGTGTTGCCGATACTGGATTGCCGGCCTTCAGGGGAGGGAGGAAAAGACCAGATATCCCAGAATCCAGACGGAGTGTTCGTCGGAGGCTTGTAGTATCGATGACGGCTAGCTGCATTCACTACTTCACTCGAACCATGGGTACAGCGGTTACCTACTGATCAAGTCGATGACGGAAACGATGTTAAAATGACTACCCTTGGGATCGAACCCGGCTGCTGAATAGAAAGCAGTACACTGTGGGCATGCGAAGCCATCAAGCTGTTGGCGTGCCTCACGACCACGTACCTATATAGAGAAAAGTGCAGTTCTCGGCCATAGATGATGTGCTTCTCACCACTGCACGCTCATTAGGCCTTTCCTCAGGCCGGGTAAGATCAGGCACTGTTGCACGATGCGTGTTCACCACACTCTCTGGGGGAGGGACGTTCGGCTCATCGATTGGTTTGAGAGGCTGAGCGAAACCATCACAGAAGATAAGTCTCGTCGGCTCACATCTCTGGTAGGAGTCCCTCGGCGTTCGATGGGAATCTTGGGTCGCTTCGGTGGACGTTGTATGCTGACCAAAAACTGTAGAGTAGTTGCCTTGCATCCTCACTCAGAGTCTCTTGGAGAGCTGTCGACTTCAACCACTTCCGCATCAACATCGAAAATCAGCGGCCGTGTTGGTGTGTGTGGGCTCAACGTCGAGGCGTGGGATTCTCTATCACAGGAGTAGGGTAGTCCAGTACAGCGTGAATATGCACAAATGTTGATGACAATATGGACTGAGGGGAATTTCGGGAAATTCTCATTGACTGCTGTAAATTTCTACCCGGATTCGCATGTAAACTTTTATGCTTAGTGGAGCAACTCTTAAGCTCAGCTCAAAAAAGCAAACATATATTTCCAAACACTGGTCCAGTATGCTGAATTCGACCTACTTGTGTTCTGCGGACTTCTCATCAACTGCGCCTTGACCAACACTGTCGCGGCACCGCTTGGCGTAAGGACGGAGAGGAGTTAACTCTACACCGCAGGTTGGCGATCCGCCTCCTATGGGGCTGCCAGTCATTGCTAAGGGAACATCAATGATGCCGCTACCACAAACGCCGCACCTAAGAACTCCTTGTAAGAAGGTAACCGTACATCAGTAGCCGCTTGATGTGATCGACTCGACTCCATAACCGGTAGAGTCTTCTGAGGACCACTACAGTTACCAGGGACTGTCACAGGTGATGACGGACCTGCGCTGACTCCATCTTTTCCTGCCGGGTTTTCCGAGCTAGATCCGCGATGAGTCGGTCCTGTTGCTCAGCCAGTTTGATGATCTCCTGTATTCTTTGGTCGATGTACGAATGTAAATCCTCGGCCAAGCGTGTCGCAAGTGTTGCCAACATTACACGTGTGGGAGGAGACAACTACTCTCCTTACAGGCTGAGATCAACTCACTAGGAGGAATGTAAGTCACTGCGCTTGTCAAGCTGCGAGGTGGCACGCACTACAACGAACAGCGTATTGGCCGGCAACAGAACGCAGCGGTGAAACTCCGGCGTTCCCTAAGACCAGCAAAAGTGACGAATTTGGACAGGAGCATTGATGTTGTAGCCAATGGTGGAAATATGAGTCATAAAGCGACTAGAGTGAATTCACCCATCATGTGCAATATCATGGCAAAAATCATTCCCCGAACTATGCACTTCAACGGCATCTGCTCCTGACCGGCGTCCGTGTCATTCGGACTTTCCAAAAGAGTCCGCAAGTTCGACTTCCGATAACGCCTCTACTTTTACTCTCTATAAGTCGCCCTCTACGAGGTAAGTAGAATTCTTCATAGTGCGGTGCTGAACCATGTCATGATATTTTAACTGCAATCAAATCATAAGATTCGTCCGCACGATCCCACACACATAGAGGATCCATGCGCCTATAGTAAGCTCAGAAAGGTTACTACGTGAGGGACACTCCGATATGAATTCAGGCTAGGCCGCAGTGTTGGGGGAATATATGTTCCCTTTCCTCAACTGAGCTTACAAGTTTTCTCACTAGGTATGTGATTCCTGATAACAACCCGGGTTGGAATTTTCAGAATCGACATGGCTCTCCTGAGATTTTCCTCAAAATTTCCATATTTTTACCAACACATACCGTTGACCACACTGATCGACGGTATCAGGCAGCACCATGCACTGCAAAAATGAACGTGGCAAACGTTGAACAAGTTCGTCCCCTACTGATCGTCCGTAATGTAAGAGGATCACATACCCTAAGCAGAGAGTAGTGGAACAACTGCCCCATACAGGTTTCGAGCCTATTGGCAACCTATTATGTGTTCTGGCATAAATGAGCTGGTGACACAATGGCAAATTGTGTCACCATGTCTCCACTCCCTACAACTACACCCGACAGTCAAGAAAGTGATGAACTCTGAATCAGATTGACATCAGAAACACATAAACTCCGAATTTTTGAATCACTTCTCTGTACGCGGCACCCAATACTCCTTCGCGCCGACTTCCAGAATGAGCTTCTCCCACTGTTTCTGAGAGTATTAACGGTAAATGTAAAAAAACCGTGGGACAATATCAATACTAGATTTCTATCCGAACACCAGTGTGGGGGGAAAATATGCACACATACTATGTGACGTGGTCAACTACATGTGCTGGTGAGAGAATGAATAATCTGAGAAAATTGCGGTGAATTCTTATCGGTTTTTGTACACTCCTACCCTAGTTTGCATATAAACTCACGAGGAAACTTTTGAGCTCGGCTGAGGCAAGCGAACATATAATGCCATGTATATACTGCTAATAATACTACAATACTTAACTATACTACAACTACTTAAAATGCTTAATGCAGCAATAATACATAACGATACTGCCCGCGACACTTACATGTGCACTAGTAATAACCTTTTCCGCTTTTTCTAACGGTAACAGGCGCCCGCCATATCCTATTTCGTTTTCAGGCTTACCCTCCAGCATCTACATATCAACCTCACTCAGAAGAATATCTTAGGTTCTCTCATCAAAGATACCTTATAGGTCCGAAACCAGTGCATAATCTCTTCCACTCGTCCTGGCATGTATCGAGCCAAATCGTCGAGTGAATTGATCCGTTCACTCATCGCCTAAAAACACCATAGAATCGTCACCTCAGGCGGATGATTTGAAACATGTGCCCATGTCGAACCTCTTCTCGGTACCCAGCAAGAGCAGACGCCAATCACGACCCAAACTGACCGCTCCCCATACCTCTCAATGTGATAGAATATGCACATGTGTTGGTGACAATATCAAGGCTCTGGGAAAATTCTTGTTAGTTTCTGTTCACTCCTCGTGAGTTGTTCCAATTCGTATATGAACTCCTATATTAAGTGAGAAAAATATTGAACTCAGCTGAGGAAAGCGAGCCTTTTTTGCAGCAATCATATCTCCACATATAAAAGTTGAATATACATGAGTCTTAAAAACAAAACACGTGATTTTATGGTTCATATTTGACCAAAACCACACCGTGAGAGGGGCGTTCGAATACTACATCATCGGTGTTGATCGCCAAGACCTTCCAATCCACCTCGCCTTGGTCAAGTAGACAGAAGCAACCCAGCACCTGAGCACCGTTCAGTGTTGAAAAAATGATTGATTCCTCAGCTGAGCTCAGGGACTCCCTCGCTACTTCGTGAAACCTCCCACGATTTTCAACGTGCCATCTAGAGACCGAAAATACGTGTGCAGAGGTAACTTTTCCTACGGGGCGACTTTCAAGTTAAAATTTTGAATATAAGCCCCTCTTATATTGCATGGAACCTGTCGTCAATCGATTTTCGGAAAAATTTTCATGGCACTTTTTTGCACGTGTCCGACCCCCGGTATTGAACCTGCGCCTGTTAGATCTTTTGATGATATCCCAAACCTCCGTTATTAACCCAATCTACAACTATTGATCATCACGACACACAGTAAGAATCAGGAGACAGTAGTGTATCCCCCCAAAGCTCATCAGCAACCCCTATCACCTTGACTTCAGTAACAGTACCTGTTGGGATAGGCCTGTCCCCAAGTTCGACAAGGTCCAGAGGATCTCTATCCCCATACAGCTTCGTCTCCTCATCTTGTACAGAGGGATCCTCCCAGGTCTGAGACAGCGGTGTGATCATATCACCAATTCCCTTACTAAGATCGTTTATGATGATAATCAGACCGACTAGAGAAAAGGTGAAGGACCATCACGCGGTAACGTTAATGCCAACAGCCGAGTAGTGCGTGGTAATATGTATTATTTTCCGAGATTAATAAGAATCGATATGAAAAGTGATGTGAACATGTGCTGTGATGGAAGTAACCTTTCGAGACTGTGCTAGCGACGAGTTGTTCACTATCACCAATCCCGGAATACAAAACGCACATTCTTCACTTCAACATATCAATCACGTGTCCCTTCTACCTGTGGTAGCGCCCCGTAGTTAAAGCTCGGTTCCTTGCCGTAATACCGCAACCTGCCATCACTCCTCCTATCCTGCCTTATAGGGTTATGGGCCTCTTTAGTGGCTACCTAATAACTCCTATGCACATATAGAAACATTCCCCTGTACCCGATACGAGATGATTCCACCATGAAAATCTATACATTTTAATGCATCTTCCTAACTCAACCGAACCTTTTCCCTCCGGAAACACTACCTCAAACTTAGCCCGCATTCCACGTTGTATTTCCGCGACATAGTTGCAGTACAAACCGCCTTCCTCCGCCCGAGACCACAATGGTACCTGCTCAACATCCTCCACACAACTTTGTGCATGCGTGCAAACTTCCCACATCGTGCCATGGAGACACCACACCCTTTGCAGGGTCAGTGAGGAAGACCCGGTACTTTTCGCTCAGCGTGTGCCCCTCAGTCTTAACACTATAACTCGTTCGAGGGGAAGCAGTAGACAAGCACCGAGAGACCAGAGGCCTCCATAAAGTACCGACCGATGACAAGGCCGACAGCCTCAAGATCGGCGAGGCAACAGATAACATAGAAAATGTTTAAAAACAAAACTAATGGGAATTTCCGCGGACTTCTGTAACCCAACAAGCTCCCGTCGTTACCAGAAAACGTACATCATACCACTGCGGGAAGCGACGACCAGTTTAATAAGGCGATGCACGATGCGACACCGAGCGGCGGACCTGAGGTAGATAGAATAACTCATCACCCTACGAAGAGTCCTACTCCATCCTGTGATGATGATGATGATTCTCTTGCTACACCCTCTGCGTGGGCCTCCTTGAACTTCCTCTCAATAGCACTACAGTCGATCTGACCCGATAGCACTTGAGCGGCCAACATCATTCCTACTTTAACCTGCCGGACAGAATGGAAGAGCCCGGAGGAAGTCTCAATATCGTAAAGAAAGAGTGGAGAATCACTTCGGCTGTTTCCTCAAAATTATGGAAAAAATAATCAAAATTTTTCCAAAAACTCATCAAAATTTCGAGTAATTCATTGAAAACAGCTGGCAAAAAATTGAAAAAATTTATCGAAAATTCCGTCAAAACCCAACTCAACCACGAAGTGCCCATCTCTTCTCCTCATACCTGCTCCGCGTTGCCAACTATTGTGAGCATGTTATCATCAACATCAGCGTCGGGACGAGCCAATGTGATTTCCATTCGACAACCACTCCTTCTTTTCAAGTCGTCTATCACACAACTCCTATACCCCTCCATCTGAAAATCAATCTCTTCTTTTCCCCACTCCCAACAGCTTCTCCTCCTCCTCACCTTAGCCGCATCTGTCGCATTCATCGGAAGAAACTCCTGTGTTTCCTCAGGGCCCGGTATCGGCCTCTCACAGGTAAATATGACTTCTTCTAGCTCTCTAATAGCGGCCTATATACGTGAGCATGTGGTACACCAAGTGAATGCCATACAGTAGTAGTACATCGACCGCTGTCTGCGAAGGAGCTTCCAAAAGCAATATGGCCTGTCCTATTTCATCTCTACCAGAAAGCTCATTCTAAACAAAGAGGAGAATATATTCGATGGCCAAGGACCACGCGCAGATCCTAGGATAAAGTAAACTCCTAAACTTTTGAAAAAAAAACCGAGTATAACATAAGAGTTTCACCCGTTCTACGTAGAGTGGCAAAATACTCTGTGAAAAACCCGATATTCGCGGTACTATGCGGTGGTTTGTGAAATATGTTCTTCATATTACGGGTGAAACTTCATTAACCTTCATTGCATTTTATTGAAGCCATGGACAAAATGTTGAAAAAAAGGTAAAAAATCAACTGAATGTGTAAAAAATAGTGAGAAAATTATTTCTACTTGGAATGTCGATTTCCAATTCGCACACATACTATGATCAAATGCACGACGAATAACGTGGCTTACAATCTGTGTCGCTGTCTCCCGGCTGATCCTACGTAGGACATCGTTATCCACACCCATAACCTTATCATACGCAAAGGTAGGGATCTTGAACTTCACTATGGCACTGAAAAAAGATACTACAAATCGATCAACTGGGCGTTTCCTATGTATCAAACAAAAAGACCGCCAGCGCGAAATTCAAATTTCGATTTTCCCAATTTTTCCTACTTGGAATTCATCAACCCATAACCAGCACCACCACCAGCAGCTGTTTTTTCCACTCCATAAGAGCCGTATGATGCTGGTGGAGCAGTAGGAGCAGGAGGAAGTGTACTTTGCCAATTTCTGCCCTCATTTTCACGACGTCTACTCCATTGATCTTGAGGAGGACTATCAAAACGACCACCAAAGCCCTTTCCTCTAAAATTCATCGCTCCGCTCATATCATCGTATCTCTCAGGAGTGCCGAAATTGTTCCCTTTGCCTCCCGAAAAGCCTCCGCCGCCGCCTTTTCTTCGCATATCATGGTTCGGATCGAACAGGACTTGCCCGGTTCTCTCCGAATATTGCCGAATGACCCCACCAACATCGAAATTTCCTTGGATAATTTCATTAACCAGGAAAGCGCCAATGGTACACTGAGAATAGGGGGAAAAACGTAAGATTCTCTCAACCAGAAATTCGACTAATCTCACAAAAAATTTCATACTTTCACCAGAGTTTATTCTGGCGAAAATTATTCCTTCACTTTACCCTATCAATTTAGTTCCATCTCGCCTCACCTCATTTGCTCACTACCATTATGACCGTCACCACATATACCCAAACTGACATCATCACACGCGCGGCAAGAGTATAAAAAAATTGCCTCCCCCCAGGAACTCCACAATTAACGAGTCTTACCGCCTCAGGAGGTCCAACAATTCGGGCATACTTCATCTCGCCAGGTGGGACTTTAACCACAACATCCATTCGACATCCACTCCTCCTCTTGAGCTCATCGAGTACACACCTTAACGTACACATATACGCCTTCTATTAACCACTTACGCAGCTTACGCGCGAGGCCCTATCACATCACCAACTTTATCCTCCGGCAGAGAAACACGGCGCTCGATGTCTCCAGGGCGGAGGAGGTCACATGACTCGCACGAGCGTATTATCTCGTTGAGCTGCTCGACAGCGTTCTATAAACGATAGTTTCTACTATGTATTGTTATTGCTTCCCTCACGTCAACTTGCTCTGCACGAGCTCCAGTGACGATGAATCGACTGAAACCTTGATCTTTGCTACTCTGGTCGACCTAGTGCACATAGCAATGTGGGAAAATATACATATGGTTGATGACAATATGAAAATTTCTGAGGAAATTTGGGAAAATTCCCATTGGTTTCTGTACATTTCTACCCGAATTCCTATGTGAACTTCTATAAGTAGCAAGAAGAACTGCCAAGCTCAGCTGAAAGAAGCGAACATATATTCCTTCAACAGTAATACCGAGAGTCTCCCATAGCGCGTTCTGGTCAATCCAAAGCTGACACACTCTAAAACAGACCTCTCCCACAACTTCAGTGCGAACACATACAAAGTACCAATAAAGTGCTGACAACGTTCGATCGACTTCTCCACTGAATGTTCCCCGATTAAACCCCAGAAGCCCTCCCAATCACCTCAATACGTGCACCCGTCTCCAGTCTTATTCTTTTAATACAGTCTCCTCCTTTACCAATGGCCTTCCCTACTGCGTTCTGCGGCACTTCCACAACCTTCTCCACCGACTCCGGAAAGGATGGTAGGACCGGAGTACCCGACATTAATGCGGCGGCGTTTTACTACTCGTCACAGAACCCCCAAAATTAGACTCACAAAACACAACGCATAATTTGTTTCAGGGTAACTCGTTGGTTTGTTGACCAGCATCACCTCCAGAAACGACAATCACTTGGCATAGTGATTTAGTTGGTCTCCTCAGTGGCCATCCTAGCGTTCCTGTTGAGCACCTGGACACCGATCTGATCGGCGCGCTCGATAATAGCCTTGCGAGTGCGGCCAGAGAGGTTGCTAGCAAGAACAGCGGCATACTTCTCATTGTGCATCATCAAGAGCTCGATATCAGCAGGAGACTGAAAACAACCACCTCATAATACAGTCAACACCTCCATTTACACTACCCTAATCTGGAAGGCGTACTTGCCGTTGGAGAGCTGGTACTTGGTGCGCTTGTCCGAGCCGTAACCGATGTTAGGCATCAAAGTGGTGCCACGGAAACGACGACGAATACGGGAGTCGATACCCTTAGGCTTCCTCCAGGACTCCTACAGAGGAAAAGAGATAAATCAACGCTACCCTAAAAACGAGGTCGACTCGACCGAGTGAAACCCTCCTCGGTGACTTACCGGCACTCGCATGAAGTTGTCAGACTGATGACGTCTGAACTTGTTCGTCTTCTTCTTCACAATTCTCTTCACAGCAGGCGCCATAGTGCTTATTAACGGTGACAAGTACAACCAACTGGGCCGGGCTTCGAAAGGAGGGAAATCACATTCCCAACGCAAGCGTGATCGATTTCACGGGCGAGCGAGATACGAAAAAAGCGGAGCGAAGCAACAAATCTCACCACCATCATCATCATCATCATCATTTCTCCGCAACCGCAGGTGTTGTCGAGACCTTCTCCTCCTTCGGTCGACGCTATTGAAGTCCTCCATCACAGCCTCATTAAGCTCCGGCCATTCCCTGATTAGATCCACAAGCATGTCTACGTCCCCTTGGGCACTGTGGACCCCTGGTGCCCACCCTCCTACTCTACACCGGTACAGTGACGACAACGAAAAGCCACTATGAGGGTGACCAACTCGTCGTGCTGCTATCAACGGGTCGATCTTCCTCAATGGCCGCCACCCGGGTAGACCATAGTGGTTCATCACTCGGTTGTCGAACTGCTTGCCATTGAAGGCAGCCATCACCAATGGACCTCGGCAACGCTGTCTCTGCAGAAAGGGTATCACAGTATCTCTCCAGGCCTTCGGAAATAGAGGCAGACTGGCATTAAAAGGCCTCTTGCCCGTCCCTGACGCCCTGCAGAACTTCTGAGCGCTGCTGGACAACGTCGACCACTCATAGGGCGATCGACACTCCACGAAGACTTCCTCGCCAGTGGTATAATTACGTGCAGCGAACTGAACGACCCGGGTTCGATCCAACCACTTGAGATCTTCTCTATCGCCAAATACCGTGTCGCTGTCATGAACAGTCTCCAAATCATAGACTATCAGCTGCCTTGCCGGCCACCGTTGACGCCCCTCCTCATTTTCAAGGAAGAACTCACGTCGTTTCGAGAGGACTCTTGTGGCCATCCGAGTGGCGGCCGCCGCCTCCAGTAGTAACCACAGTCTTAATACCTCCCTCGAAGTCCTCACCTGACCCGACCGTAGTAGTCTCGACAAGTACTTGTCGATTTCCCACTCAACAAGGTGATCGAATACCCCTCGAGTGAGCTGATTACGAAGATTCTGAATTTTCTCCCAGCACTTCATCTCACACACGACAGTCTGTCTCCTTATTTTAGAGTGATCAACACGGACGGTCTTCACCGTAGCGTCCACTTTGATAACACTGTCAAGGTCACCAGTAGCCAATGCACACTCCCTTATCAGATTCAGATGTACCGGATGCTTCGACCAGCCAGTGAAGCCTTGAAGGTAGCCGTTCGCCTGCCGTGGGGACTTCCCCCACACCATAGAGTGCAGACAATACGCCAAGTCGTCAACCATCGCCACCCGTGGTAGGTGCGATAAGTCACCCGTAGCCTCAGGGGCTCTCATCATCATCAGCAACCGAGGGAAGCTCCTAGCATGACCGACTTCAAGAGGCTTATCGCTGAGCTTCGCCGAGAGTAGCCGGGCCCAGTGTAAAACGCTGTGGCCAGCAATCTCAACGCTGAAGGCCTGCGATGGCAGTAGAGTCCCTGCCGCGGGTGGTCGCAGAGCCATTCAAGATCTATCGCGCGCCACGAGGAATCGCCAACTCCGAAAACAACAACACCATGATCACGACGAATTATATGAATCAATTCTATGCATGTATAAGGCGTCAGTTGAATGTGCGAAAACCCCTTCTGAGGTCATGAAAGCGAACAAGGCATAGGAACTCGTACTGGGCAACATCTGAATCATTATGGCTATAAAATAAACCAAAGAAAATGTCAATTTTCCAACTAGGTGATTCCCCCCGTCACAGCCGACTTGAAGTAAGCATCTACATCTCGATGAACTCGCTGTTCTGCAAGGTATCAATTTCCCGAAGTAGCCTAGCTGTGACCTTCTGTGTTCACGCTAATAGGAGAATTCACAACCGCGGAAATCTCGCCGATCGGCCCCGAAGCTCAGGGCAATGTCGTAGTCCTATATGGTGAGAATCGAGCCCTGCAGTGACAAGACTCGCCAGGGATTCCTCGCCTAGACATATGACCATTTTCGGCTGTGGTCATCGCACCTGAGGCGACAACGATAATTTGGACACCCTCCTACCTCACACATTCGGGAGGAGGACGGCATTCACTAACTAGAGAGGCTCTGGCCATTACTTAGGTTTCCCGACAGCTTTACGTTCAGTTCTGTCGACACTTCTTCGAGGGACCCCACGAGTCGTAACGAGATTGGCACCAGACTTCCCATCTGACACGAGAGTTGACCTACCCACTCACTCGGTAACTCAACTCAGTGAAGGTCTTGCGGCGGAGGAACTCTCTGCAACATGTTTTCGCAGCGGCGGCGGCCACACGTGACAGCTCACTACGATTAACTCCTACACCGACCAAAATGCGGATTAAGTGCATCGAATTAGAGCTCGCCTCGATCGTCAATACAACAGAGGCTCCAAGACCTCGCAAAAGCTATCAAACAATCTTCGACAACGGCGGCTACATTCCACTGAGTATTCCACGAACGACGACGGGCACCCGGGTGGCGACGACAGGAGAACCTGATAGCAGCGACCAAGCCTGTGTCTCTACTACACACAGGCCTGATGAACAATAGCGTTTGGAAACAGCGTGGAATTCCTCTACCGTTCGATAACGTCGCACCTCACCTGCATTTTCTCCTTGAACTCATTGAAAGTCCGAGTCTCATCGAGCTCCTTCTGCAACGACTTAAGAACCCTCTCGTAGGGCCTTCCAATAGGCACGCCATTTTCACTCGCATCCACGATCAACGTGCATATCCTCTACCGAAGAATAAACACACTCTATCACTATTACGTTCCTCACCTTAGCCGCTGCCCGCCAGCCCATCCGACTCGAACGGCCCAGTGCAACATAGAGAGCCTCGAGCTCCACTGGTAAGAGCAGAGGCTCTCCAGTGGATGCAAGCAGGCTGCCGATCAACGCCTTGAAAATCTCTGATTCGGCCTTCTGCGCAGCTTCGATGATATTTTCGAATCGACCGCCATGTCGAGCACCGAGCTCCGCGACCAGAGCTTTCGCCCTATCACTTGCCTGAGCAACGACAGTGAGGGGCACTCAGCATTCTCTCAACAGCGGTTCGTCTTGTATCGCCAAGACATCGTCGATTTCAAATACTTATAATGTTATACTAACTGTTACTCCGTAGAACCAAATAAGTTTTCCCTTCTCCGACTCCCCTCAAGGGAAGACCATACAGATAGCTTACCACAACAGACCGAGTAGCCAGCAATCCACCACAGTGGGCCACGACACAGCACAGACGTGATCGGACTCCATCGGGCCCCTCAAGTTCAATGAGCTTATCAAAAGTCTCAATAGCCCCATCGACATCGTCGGTGAGTAGCTGCATTTCTCCGAGCACTCTGTACTCGTCCTGAGAGCATAAGCTCGCTACTACTGTACCATCAGTGTTGGAGTAGGAATATATGTTCGCTTTCCTCAGTTGAGCTCAGGAGTTTCCCCACTACTCGTAGGAGTTTATATACGAATTTCGGTTAGAAGTTTACAGCAACCACTAAGAATTTTCCCATTTTCACCAACACATCATATTTCCCCACACCGTTTACCCTAGTCTTGGAGGGCAACTTGATCGGCAGCCCGGCTCCTGACCCAGCACGCCCACCCGAGGCGACATGCGTCTCCTCTGCGCTGTCCATCCAACCGACTTCGGTCAGAATAGTAGCCAGGGTTTTCCTGATCGGCGAAATTTCCAACCATAATCGATCTGAGCTTACCTGGTTTCGTATTGCTCGCCAACAGTAGTAGTGCTAGGGCCTTCTGGGGGACCTACACGGCAATCAAATCTGTCCACCCAAGGTCAGAGCAGGAAAACATACACATGGTCAACCAGAAATGTTGACGACACTCTGAAAATTCTGGGAGGAAATTTCGAGGAATTTTCATTGGTTTCTGTATATTTCTATCCCTATTCGTATGTAAGTCACTGAGGGCACTCCCAAGCTCAGCCGAAAAAAAAAACGAACATATACTCCTACACTGCCCGAGATGGTATCAATTCAGCTCACATCTGTCGACGCCCCGCTGCCTTTCCTCACACTCAACCTCCTCTTCTTCTGTCTTCAACTCGCCCTTGATACCCTCATGCTGCACCTCATCCCCTGACACCTCCGTAGAGGCCTGACCTGCAAGACCCCAGGCATCTCGAAGGCATCAGCCATGACCTCACTCTGTTCAACCTCAACCACCCTCGCTTTCTTAATAACTGGCTCTTCCCCTCCACCCAGATCAGTCTCCAGAGTGGCCTCCGGCGTAGGAGACGTATCCTTCTCGACAAAGCGTAGGGCAAGCTGGTCTCCATCCTTCACCCCACAATCACCGACCTGGGCATCATACCAGTTCTGGTCAGCGCCTCAGTAGCCTACCGAGCTCCGTCGCTTAGGCACGTCTTGCCCCTCCATCGCTCCTTCCAACCACGTGAGTCTCCAGTCCCCCGCTGGAAAGCGGCTCTTGACCCCAGCTAGACAGAAGTACCTCCGAGCGGCATTCACGAGCTGGCACGGCCGGCTCCTCCTGATCACAACACTGTCATCACACCAGCTCAACATGAGCCCTCCCTACGCATCTACTATGAACTCCTTGGCCGACTCAGCTCGCTGGGCCAGCCCCTCGCGGCATTGGATGTGAACCCTGAGCGGGCCCTTACTGTCAACAGCGGTCGTTCGACGAGTCATCTTAATAACTATCAACCTCACAATAGAAGTCACCTCGGTCGGGCAGAGAGAAAAGGCATCACCATGCGATTAACTTACAACGCAGAAGGGTCCGATCATTTGGATAAGAAACACATAGCACTAGGAATTAGAATCGTCACAAGGTCGACACTTCGACGGCTCGGCAAAGCTTGTCGAACTCCCCCTTGCACAACTTGGTACAAAAAGCATATATTCCCGGATAATGCTGCTGCAGATCACAAGGACCATCTAGAATCTCCTGAAACACATCATCCGAAGAGTCAACGACGCCCACTGCTGCTGCTGTTGCCCAGCATAAAAAGATGATACAAAGCTACACAGTTCAGATGAAAAAACATTCGGAAAATGGAATTTGTTTTCGGTAGAGTAAAAGTTCGAATTTGAAGTGGAGGTTCGATTTTCGTGGCCGCTCGGAAATGAAAGGTCAAATCCGTAAACACCTCGTGAGTTCGGAAAAACGAAATTTCAAATTCTTCGGATAAGAAACAAATTTCCGACCACCGGAAATTTCCCCGCGGAAAATCAAAATGAATTTTATATTTTCGTAGCCTCAATTCTGAGATGGGCCCACTTGGACGATGCTTTTGAATTCTTGGAAGCTCCTGAGGGGCTGCCCCAAGCCGTCGAGTCGGCCGAGCAGGGCTTTCAGCTGAGGTCGAAAATGCTCGGAGACTGGTTGCCCATACACCTCGTAGGAGAGGAGACTTTGACAGATCAACTGAAAGGTGACACAGTTCGGCAAATAATCGTTCGAAAGGGTAACCATATAGACTTACCTTAGCCGCAGCTCCCCAGCCACGCTCACCTGCCTGCGAGCCAAGCAGTCGGAATAAGGCCTCCTGCACTCTCGGTAGTGGCAAATCCTCACCGAGATCAAACAGGAACACCCTCAGCGCCGAGGAGAACTTCTCCACATTTCCAGTCTTAGCTTGGCTCACGACCCGGTCCAATCTCTCGTTGGGTTCTCTCACTAACCCCTGCATTTCCCTCAATGCAAGAGGACACGTCTAAAGCAGATACCACTCCAATATCAACTCTTGGATGAACCAACTCACCTCGATCGGCTGAGGACTTTCCAAGCCGCCACATAGGCTGACGATATACGACAACTTAGGGAGCACGCCCGACGTGCCAGCGCCGACCACCAGCTTCAACACCATCTGAGCTTCCTCCACCCTTCCCGAAAGTAGTAGGAAGTCTCCCAGCATCGATCGAGCCTGCCACATTGCTCGCGAACCCGGCTCCTACCCCGCACCCTACCTCGATCAACCTCCGATGGTCCGCATCCTTCCTCTCATCTGCCTCAATATTAGCCAGACACAACCCCACGTTGGTCCTGGCCTCCTCCACACAATCATCATATCGTTGCAGTTCCAACAAGCATAGGATCATCTGGTACCTGCCGTTAGTGTTGGAGTAGGAATATATCTTCGCTGTCTTCACCCGAGCTCAGGAGTTTCCTCACTATTTATAGAATTTACGCTAGAACAGTACGGAATTTTTCTCTCAGAGTTTTTCTAATTTCACCAGCACATGGTTGACATTGGACACGTCATGAATTTAACCTCCCCAGTGTTCACTACCTGCAGTCGTACAGTAGTTTCCAATGGATCCTCCCAGTGCCATCATCCGCAGCTGCCAGGCTTTCGCGATAGGTCTCGACTGCCTTGGCGAACTGATTACTGTGCATCTCCTTCTGTGCTTTATACCGCAACTTCACTGAGAAAGGACCCGGGTTCGATCCCTGGTTAAGACACTATTCCCCATCCAACTCACCATGAGGACTTTGAAGCAACCAATCTTCCACAGGCGGCAAGTCTCCATAAAGGCTACCCGTGAAGACCTCATCCTCAATCGATTCGCGAGCTTTGGCCGATGACCCTTCCGGCTGGGGGGAGGGAACTGAACGTAGTAGAGTGACAGATGTACGAATACCCTCACTGGGAATTGAACCCGGGTGCGATCGATATCAGCATACACAGACCTCTGGAAGGACTACTAGTCCGATCACTTCGTTAGCTTTACATCACAGAAAGATAAATTTCGGACGTTAGGTGATGTAGCTCGTGTTTTCTAGGTTGCCACAGGAATCGCAGATGGTATTATATTCATTTATGACTTCTCTATCGAACCATCGGGAAAACCCTAGCAGGTTCCCGAAAAATCACTCGATCGCCCCTTCACCTTCAACATCCTCCAAAGCGTCCTGCAGGTTACTAGTCCGACTCAGTTCTCCTCCCTCATGAACAACCTCCTCCTCCACCTCGTCTGCTGTCGAGCTATCGATCGGAGCAGCACTGATCCTTCCAGAGGCTGTCGGCTCCACAGGCATATGACCACTTGCGGTCTCAGATACTTCTACGATAAAGAGACGACATACCAAACCGTAACCAACTTCCAGTTCGTACCGACAGATGAGCTCATCGACGGTGGGTCTTTGCCAACATCAGCCTTCCCCTCCTCATCCCCCCCTACGTCCTCCGCTCTGCTAGCGATACTCTTCTGAGGTGCGGCCATCGGTGAGGTAACTGAGAGCACATCATGCCAGGCGCAGGTTCGATCCCTGGTGACGACATCTTCTTACCTTTTCCTCCCTCTACCGCTTCCTTCTCCTCAGTACCAACAACAGCCTCAATCCCCGAGCTTCGAATAGGCAGCCCTCCAGCCGGCTCAGCAGACACGTTAGGCTCTATACCGCGGACCCTGGCCGAACGCCTCACCGGTGTCTCTAAAGCGGCGGATACCTTAGCTCGCTTGGAACGGGACTTCGGAGGGCCGCTGGCACCTGAATACTCCCATACCCATGCAATTTGTATGAGTTCACCAGAGAGTGGTACTCACTGTTATCAGCAAGCTTCTGGCTTTCCTTAGCCTCTTCACCCCCGCTAGGGACTCCATCCTCCAACACCCCATCAACAGCATCTTCCATTTCGGCGGCCACTGCCGGGCATGATGCCTCCGATGGCGAGTCGTGATGCTTATGCTGTCGCTTCTTCCCTGAACACAGTCCCACTACAGTGAGCTCCAACAAGAGCAAGTACCCCGATGATGCCGAGACCGGTGGTGACTCTCATCGACGTCCAAGCTCTCCACAGAAGGGCTCGTCTGAGGTGTCTGCGAGCGGGTTGAATCAGCATCGTCTTGAACATACACAAGCCTCAAGCGCTCGCCGCCATCTATCCCCGCAGCTTTCACCTACAACAGCATACTCCACCAAACAGGAGTAGGGCAGGGGCTTACCGAGGGAAGCCTCTTCGGGACGTGCTGTTGGTCCCTCTCCCCACCAACATGAACGAGCCGCCAGTCCCGTCGGGGCATCGACCCTGGAGAACAACCCCGGTCGTAAGCAAGGCCAAAGTGCGCCCGAGCATACGCCACGAGCCGACTAGCTGGCAACTTCCTAACAATAGGGAGACGGCCCTCCAGAGGTGCAAAGCGGACATCCTCTCACGGGCTGATAGTGAACTCCTTTTCTCCCTGGATTTTCGCCTCTTCCAATAAACACTCCACTGTGAGGCTTATCTCATCCTGGCCGCCTTGTCCCGGTTCGCCCTTGGCCCCTCGACGTGCCATCGTCGAATATAAAGCACTGCTCGAATATAAAACACTCATGTAGGAGTTCAGTTGAGACGAACCCCCTGGTGAGGGCGAATACGAGACACTCCTAGTGTCCTGTATTCACTCTCACCAGGGGGCAAAGACTGCGATGATCTGACGGTCAGATAAGACGACTCCACTGCCCTACTCTCGAAGACGTTTCCCCCTCCCCCCCAGCCGAGAGCATGGGCGACCCGTCCGTATGTAAGAAGTTACCTCAACGCAAAGGAGGACGAGGAGTTGAAACGGAAACATAACAACCTCATGAGTGACGACACAGCACCGATAAGGCTGAGAATATCATTTCAAAGGAATATATAATTTCCCATCCCTGATAGTAAGAGCCCATAAGGATTCACAGCTTCATGTGATGAACGAAAGTCCATATTCACAAGGTGTACAATAATTTTGAAAGACGAATCTTGCACGCATGCACACTGGACGATACAGTTCGTGATCCTTTTCACACCCAGAAAAGCCCCACAGGAGAGTACTGCTGACACAACGAGTATTGATCGATGCAGACCTGCAAGAGAGATCTCCTCGAGTAGTTATTATCAACACAAAACTGGGGATACTCGAAAGCTCAACTGTACACCAGAGGATACAGGCGGCAATAATAGGGTACGCATATAGAGACCCACAAGGAACTGTAGGAAAAGCAGATGGTTGCGACCAAGCAGTAATACTGTTGTTGAGGATGGAAGTCTTAGGCTACCATCACAACATCGATTACGGTGTGAAACCGACAAGCTGTCACGAAGGACAGTGCCCGGATGGGCTCATCCATGGACCTTCTAGGTATAGTAATATACAGTATCAAAATGAAAAACCAAAATCGCATGAGCTATATAATATCGAATTTGGCGTTTTTCTGTGGACAGTTCCTCCTGTGTAACTGCACCGTGAAGGCCAAGGACTTATCCGCAGTTTCACACACTTCAACCTTCAAACTATGAGAGTCGTCGATCGGGGTCACAACCGCCTGAACGTCTCCTAATACCCAACCACATGTGCGAATAGCTCACCTTCCCATGAGCCGGCTCAGCATCAACCTCATCATCATCCTCAGAGGACGTGTCAACAGCTTCCAACACAGTGACAGTGCAATCTTGAACCGGGCATATATTAAATACAGGGCCTCCACTTCCCTACAGAAATGGCGGCTCTTATCGGATGCGACTGGGCCGCCGCCCTTCTTACTTCACCCTCAGGCGAGTCCGCATACACAGAGTAGAATCGCTGAGTCGTGCCTCTCGGTAAATTGCTCAAAGGCACCGAGGACTCTCCGAAGTTCCCAACGGTGGACATTGATCTCAGCTGAGAAGATAACAACAATAACATCTATACCCTCCAGCAGGATACTCAAACATGAGGTGCGAAATCCAAGACTCGTACGATGATTCCTATTCGAAGGTTATAAGACCCCTACAAGGGACCTCAGGACTATTCTATGACCCTATGTACAAGTACTCACAAGTGTCAGGTACTCCACAGTACACATAAGTACTACGGGTACTCACAAGTACTCCCTATGTACAAGTACTATGGCTACGACCGGATGCGACGAAGCTTATAGACATGCAGAACCCTCGGGAACATACCCGCAGTTTAGGGGGCTTGTGAGTGGCCTCATCTGTTTCAGGATTAGCCTCCTCTTCATCAACCTAAAAATGACGCAATCGAAAATCGAACCAACAACCTCACACATGATAGCGATACATACTACCCACTAGCCCAACTCACCACTTCTGATCCTATCCGCGATCGTGTCAAGGCCCGCTCTCTCGCTCTCTTCCTCGCATGGACACACTCTAGGACAGATAGGTAGATCGCTGCTATGATAGGCCCAGCCGCCGGGATAGTGAGGAGAAGCACCGAAAACACGTTGGAGCCGTTAAATATAAACCACATAAGCACATATAGCACACCCGAAGCCAACTGTGGCAGGATAATGCTACGCCATTGACTGCCAGCTGGGGCGAGCAGTGCCATAAGAGAGAAGCCCACGAATGCGAGGGTGAAGAATATAATAGTGAAGATAAGGGCCGGCGAGTGAGCTATATCCTCAGCATTGTAGGGACCAAGCGTCTGAATTGCCATAACACATTAACTGTTTTTGGAAGGAACAACCATACGACATCAATTGCACAAGTGACTCCAGTTACATTCCATCCCGGCACTCTACTCGAGGTAAACACAACAAAAACTAGAGAAACATCGTTGTAGTAGTACATGGAGTCTGCCACCTTCAATGCTCTCCTTCTTTATGAACAGGAAACCACATCACTACAGTAGACAACCTTGATGTCAACCTCTCCACCCACCTTTCTCCTTCTCAGCTATCATCCTCAATCGAGCCGGAATAATACCTTCTGAAATAAAGGACTATGTAGTAGCATCCGGTACTATGCGAATAGCATTGCTACTCGTGGAGCCCTCCAAACCATACCACCCTTCCCCTAGTAGTACTTGATCAACGCAACACCTTCACACGAGTCACTGGGTTCGCTGTCGCTTTATTATTTCCGACATCGCAACATCAGCAGCTGCCTTCGCTCGGTCCTTGCCTCTGGCAGGTACTCCAACGCTCTAACACATACAACATTGAGTACCACTCCTTCTTCACTTCAGGCGAACCTGTCCCCCCACTGCACCGCCCTTCCTTGACGCTTCCTCAAGAAAACGCATCTTAGCATCTTCTGCCCGCTCGATGGCCCGCAGCTCCTCCCTACAAAAAGCCCCTCCTATCGGAATGTGACGTAGTAAGAATGCGAATGCATAGAAGTTGGTCTTTCGGACGTTTTAACGCACTTCTTCTACCGACGATTATATCGTGCTCTGCTATTCAGTAACATATCCCTCCCATTACAAACGGTCAGTTTCCACTTCCACCAACCCCAAAGACCAGTTCGAGTCGGCTTCCTCCATCAACCGCTTTTCAGTAGTCGATTCGTGCTGTAACCTATCGGGTATGGTGCCAAACACCTTCGCCACTCGCGACACCGGCCCAGCCGCATCTAACACGATGACGATGATATAAATAATCGAACAAATGCCGCCCTACTATCCTCATGGGCTCCCTTGGCCTCCCCGTCTCCCCCCTCCACCACAACATGGTGCCCCATCGCAACGAGCTTCTTGTTCACCCACTGCTGCATATGCTTGTCCACCTCCTGCTCCGTCCCAAGCCTTGCTCCAGTGTCCTGGAATGTTCCTAATGAGCAGCAATACACTAGCAACCCTCATTCTCCTGTAGCAAGTCACGTTTCAATAGTCCCCATTCCTCCTCATCCTTCTCTTCTGGTTGCGATTCTACCTCTTCCACTTCTGCCTCAGCGTGACGATCCGCGGCAACTCCTTTCGTGCGGGACCTCTCTCGCTGCATTTCCCTGATGGAAAATCCTTTTTATAGTAACTCCAGCAGGCTCACTTGAGGTCGTCTAAGGAGAGGCTTTCCCCAGTAGAAGAATCCTCCACATCAACCTCGTCCTCTGTAGACCTCTTCCGCCGATGACTCCGAGACACTTTTCGGGCAGCAAACATAAGAGTGGGAAAATACCCGTCGGAGCTCCCCCGAAAATTGAAGTCTACTATCAACACGATAATCGTCAGAAGCCGCCATGTAACGAAGCTAATCACAATCTTGAAAAAAGACCTTCCGAAAAAATACTTGCCGCGAATTTTTTGAAAAAGGTAACCACTCTGTCAGCTTTCACTACCCCATACAGGTCTTCTCTAAGGAAGAACGACCGAGCCTGAAATCGAGTTGAAAAATTCCTGTACCGCGGGTCCTGGGGACGATGCTCTAAGACGTGCTTAATTAATATGCCTATCAAATGCGGCAACGCCGGATGAGCTCGAATGTATTGCTCGTCCGACAAGAGCCTCGAAACCTGAAAGCGCCGCATCCGGACCTAAAACGTATCTTACCAGAGTCGACCTCAAGATACGTCATGCATCTTCTGCTGAGTCTGCAGCTCTCTTACATCAGAAGACAAAACGAAAGCGCCTGTGGTCTTCGGGAGCCTCATGACGGTCGTGGGTAATCATAAAATGTCCAACATGGACCCAGGAAATCACCCGGCTCTCAAAAATAACGTTCCCAATGAACGTCCCCAAATCCCGCCGAGACTAGGAAAAATGTTCCGAATGAGCGATTATAATGGGGAAAATCTCGAAAATTGGGCGAAAATATGTTCCTAGCCATTTTGAAAGTCCAAAATTCGTTCCTTCCGGGAACATGTTAAGTTCCTCGATGACTCCCTGCATGGACCGAGGAGCCTAGCCGAAACCATGGATAGCCGCTCTGTCACTGGAGTGAGAATATCTTGCTATCATTACTCGCAAGTAGTAACGCAAGAGCCCCGAATCACTTTCTGTAGGAGTACTAGTGGGGTAGAATTATCCAGCTCACCAGGGCTTCTCTCGGATGCGAGAGTTCTGTGAGGGGAAGGAGTGGGCGCGGCCAATATGTATAACTCCAAGAAAGTATTTTCGTCACATTTTGCAAATTTATGGTATCAAATTTCATGTCGATACACTGTCACAGTAGTAAATGCAATTTTCGAGAGTTTCACACAAATTTCGGAGGAACCCATGAAACAACAATACCCATTTTCTGACCGCAACGGGAGATGCATGGGTTGAATGCAACTAGCTACAACCCTGGTGCTCATTTCTTTAACCTTTCATGACTGCAGTAGTAGTGTAGAGGGACGATGATGCTGTTCTTCGTGTCTCGGAGCGTCACGATAATTTCGTGGCGCGTGACGCAAAAGTTCTCCTTCAACTTCTGTGACAACATCATGCCCTCGCCGACTCCTTTTGAATGTGATGTAGTGTTCTTCTCCTTCTCAGTTGGCTTCTACTTGTTTTCCTTATTCGTACCATTATCATGCACCGAGTGCCTATACCGCCTCCCCCTCCCCCCTACTGCCTGGCCTCTTCCTCCTCTAGAGGTTGCATGCCAGCGACTTCTCTTTGCGACCATCAACAACAACAACAGCCGAGCGTTTCCATGCTGGCAAGCAGTCGCGACTTCTCCCATCGAGTAAAGATGACCGAGAGGCTCCGTAACCAAATTCTGCTCAATTTGGATGCTCACGATCGAGCCCTTTGGAGGCAGGCAGAAGGCCCCGTCTCCACGAAAGGAATAAGTAGGGGGACGGAGGGATGTTACTTCCGGGAGTGTGCCCCTCCGTATGATCCCTTCCCAAGACGAGGCGGCTGCTATAAAGTGATGCGGAGGATCCCAGAGGACCTCAACAACCACCGGAGTAGAATCCCTGGGGGTGGGGGGCCTGGGAGTAACAGCCCGGCTGGAAGGGATGAGATATCAATAATACCCTTCGGAGTGCTGGCCTGCCTTGAGCTCGACACTATGGAGGAACCTCCGATGCCTCAAAAGGCGGGCAGGAGACGTGGAGGTACAGGGTCGTCATCATCGAGCACCAGAGGTGGTAGTAGTAGCGACTGGGAAAGGAGTACTGAGGCTAGCAGTTCCTCCTCTGCTGACCTCTCTACATGAGCTCCTATTGTATGATCTTTCTATTGGGAAGGGGGCCTTCAACTATTAATCACGACCCTTCACGGTACTATTAGCAGTAACTAGAGGCATGAATAAGACCACCCTTACAACGTACCGTCGTTCGCTGTTCTCTACTGTGGTGGTCGTAGTAGTTTATTCCTCCTGTACTACTTGTTATTGCTACTCTTGTTCCTCTCCATCCTTCTTCCTCTACTACCCTTGTCACTATTCAAGTCGAGTACTACTACTATATGGATAAATCCTAAAGTGAAGTTGATGAAGATGATTATGATCATGAGGCTACTATCTACTACTACTTCTAAAGGCGATGATGTAGTGTGTAACATTTCTAAGAAGCAGATGACCATCCTGCTAACATCATAATTGCCCGATACATTACAACAATGCTGGGGGGAACGCAGTTCTCCCTTTACTCCATTAATTCTCTCTCTGTTGTGTTTGGCACGATCGCTCCTCGAGATTGACCCCACCAGTTAGCCTCTTGTAATGTCAGTCTATGCTTCGCCTCGATTCCTACTACACAACTTCGCAGTGCGGACGCTCCTCTGGGCTCTTCTACTAGGTTTCCTGGGTACTCATCAGGAGCTTATACCTTCTACTGTGATCCGTCCAGGCTTTCCCTTAGTACTCCTCTTCTGTTTATCACCCCCCGTCACAGTGCAGGAACTGCGGGTAGCTGCTATGACCGTCGGGCTGGCCTTCCTCCTCCAGAGAGTTGCTGCGCTCTTCGACACAGCTCGGCTCGGCCTCCTTGTATTCTCCTTCATCAGAGCGGGATCAGCAGAGGAGTGTGTTAAGTACCTCGCAGTGGTCAGTGTACCGAGTAGTACTCCGCCGTCAGTACGTAGACTGGGCGTCTGGTCGTCCCTCGCCTTCGCAGCTTGGGAGAACCTCACTCGAGTCGACACTCTCCTCACGAACTCCTCCTGGGTTGCCTTTGGTGCGCTGACTATCCCACCTTTAGTGCATTTATTCTGCACTAGTATTGCTATCGACCCGGACTCAGATTTCCGCAGGTGGTCATTGCCAGTAGCAGCTATGTGTCACGGCATATACGACCTCGCCGCCCTCACCTACGTGCCTCTATGTCCGGTTATTCTGTTATGTATTATCCTCCTGAGTGAGGCTAGCCATGCAGTAGGGCAAGGAGTGGAGGAGAAATATCCGAACCGTGTAGGAGAGGAAGAGCTCACGTGTCTGCCGGTGTAACACTACTGGGGGTGCTCTGCATTTTGTCATGGTAGGAATTAGATTGTTCATTGCCGCCTTGGGCGGGTTTTTGGTCATTTTTCTCTCAATGACCTTCGTTGGTATCACGTCGAAGCACCACGTTATAACGGCTTCAGTTTCCTATTCCTTGTAGAACAGGCAGGTGTAACTTTCGAAGTAACTCTTTACCATTGATCCGCCATAGGAAGTGCTTGTGTTGTCGGTGACCTCGCTGCGTCCCCTCAGTTCTTATCAACATGGCCAGTTCCAGTCGAATAACAGCCTCACCCTAGGGGTATATCGGTTGTAGATATGGTCGAGTGTAGAGGCTCATGAGGAGCTGATAAGAGACAATGTAGTACTGACTAGAGCGATTGGACTATCAAAACTAGAAATTCCAGTCTGGGAAGTTGGAGTTTGATCTCTTCGCTGGCCACTCTGGCTTTAGAAGCTTTTCGGATTCCAGCCTAGATGTGAATTATGTGATCATCGCTCCAAACACAGGGTATGTGGAGACCTGATGGCGAGTCTTTTCTCTCATCGCCGTCTCGAGACAACCTCGTATTCGGACCAGGCTCCTCGAGAAGCTTGTAACTGTTCAGTCTGAGCCAGTTTAGGTACGTAGTGATGTGCAAGTAGTGGCAGCGGGGTTACATAGTTGAGATGGCATTTGTAAGAGCGGCTCTGACTCACTAGAAGGGCTCGAGTGATTTTTGACGGTTAACTTGAAATGGTTCCGTCGGTGACAGGCGGGGTAGTATATGAGGGGCAGTGAGATACCCGTAAAGTGAGGCAGAATAGTATGCACTGTAGGGTTGAGGATTTGAGAGACGCCTTCGCGGGTTGCTGAGTTACTAGCAGCTATGGAACCGAAATGGCTCGTATGATGTGCATATCTATGGGAAGTGGTTGCAGGGGCGAGACCACCCTAGCATGACTTTCGTGATACTTTTTCTCATTATGAATATCCTGAGTTACACAGTAGTCATGGAAGGAGGCGCAGCCCGTCTAGCGTTCTTATCGTGCGAGTAGAAGAATTACTTGGAATAGCTAACAGGACTCTAGAAGCAGCATAATAGGAACTCCTCCTTCTCTTTCGAATCGACGTACACGAGAGCTCTCTCAAGACAGGTGTGAACATGTTGTACTACTCCATAACCGAAATTTAGTTCCTTTAGTTTTATTCGAAGCCTATGCCTCGTAGAGCTCATGTGGCTATCAGGAAAATCGGAAATGATATGTAGTTGTGAGAGTCGAATGACTTCGAGTACGATTCTACTATATCAGCGGAGCTACAACTGATTGCTTTGGTAGGCTACCAAGGAAGGAATCTACATCTTCTGGTCAGGGTCAGGGTCAAACTTGATTGTAACAGAATCGAATTGTGACATACTTGAATTTTCAAAGTGAAACTCGCTTATAACACTGTCATTCTTGCTTGCTCATTTGTGAAAATTGCACGGCAAAAGGTGCATTACATGAGAAGGGAGGAGGATGTATGCGAACTATACTCAAAAACAACACTGTGGTATCAACAGCCTCAAATGACATCTAACATTCGCACTTGCTTCGAACACACAGTGATATATAAATGAACAACACGCTTCTCTCGACTGGATGAAATCCACCTGAAAATGCGAATTCAATTCAGCCGTAAATTGATTTCTGCTACAAAAACATAAATGAGCTCCGCCAACGTCTCTCTGGCCTCGTGGGCTTTGCTCGTTTAGATAGACATATGAAAATGAAGTGGATGATAAAATTGAAAGGCTCCTTCATGAGTGATGATCGTACCTACGTATACAAGTTTCAAGGTCAAAAACTTCCTCGCTTTTGTTTAAGGATCGTCTTCATTTAGCCTACCTTCCCTTTGTGAGCATGATGCATCTATCTGCGTGGTATATATTTGTACATCACAAAATTCTTTGTGACATGTCGTACATCAGCGTAAATGAACAAAATCGGTTTATCATCAAAATCGTCTTTAATCACATAATGTTTTGCAACGAAGAAGATATGACCACCGATTTTTTCCCTTATGTGTTCGGTCTCCTCTTGGTTCCATCCTTTGAATGTAATAAACGTGCCACCCTGAGGTCGCGGGCCGAAGAGACTGTATGTAAGGTACATCGGTCCAAATCTGGTGTACAAAGTTGCTTCACCGTCAAAGTTCATCTCGATTTGCCATAAATTAAAGTTCTCCCCGCCAAAAATGCAATCAACCATACCCTTTCCATTGAAGCCGGCGCAGCGTGCTTTCGCGGGAACGTCTGGAATTCGGTCTTCAAACTTCATTAGCTTGCGTGTGGAGTCGTACTTCGTGGAGCCGTACTTCGTGGAGCCGTACTTCGTGGAGTCGTACTTCGTGGAGTTGTACACCAGGAACGTCCTGAAGGCCGCACCTTTAGCTCGTAATCGAGGTGGGTTTGTTACGATAACCTTGAGAGAAGCTCTTCCTTTCCCGTCCTTCGCGTAGGGGTGATAGTCAACGAAAGGTAACCCCTCCTTCTCTAATACCGCGTTCGTCATCAAGGGGAAGCAACCTGGCATTTTTCTGATCCTCTTGAAGGCGTTCTTGCTCGAATCAAGATAGGTGAGGGAGACTCCCAGTATTCCACTGTCTCCCTTAGCGAACTTGTAAGGTACCGTTTCACTCCCGAAATTACCGGTAAGAGTAGCTGTGCCAAGGCGGTAGACATCTTCGGCATCAGGTTTTGTACCATCAGACCAGAACCTTATGGACTCGACAGCACATCTATTCGGGGAGGAGTCCGACAAGTACACGGTGCAGTCGTCAAGAGTATCACAGGTGGCACTGGTCAAAACAACAGTATGTAGAACGAGCGTGATGGTAAGGAGAAGACGAGACATTCTCGAGGGTGAATAGAACTGTGATGTGAACCGCATAGTACCACATTACACAAACTTATAGCAACGAATTGTTCCCTGCTACCGTAGTTGTAAACAAATTGTTGACGTCAGAAACAACATTACAGCATTGACAACACAAAAAGTGTTAGGTCGCACACTATGGGAATGAACATGAATCATGAGGACCGATGCTTCTTACGTCGAGGAGACGTAGCATAGCTAGCATCATCAAGATTTTGTCCTATTGCTTCATCGTGGTAATGGTCACTTTCGTCATCAGTAGGCGTAGCGACGGGGTTCCACTAGTAAACAAGAGCAGGAGACATGGAAGTACTCAATTGTTCTTGCAACAGCGCTCGCCATGCTAATCGATATATGAACTTTGCCAGCCAGGCATAAATAAGTAACTCGTCGTAGGTTGACATGGAAACTCTTTGTATAACTATTGAGCAATTCTGTCATATTCTTGATTGTTCTCAAATCAGTACAATGCTTCTCGAGATTCGCCGTCTCGTTGTGATGAGACGGGCGGAGTAAAACCCAAAATCCGAATGGTACATGTCGCTCCTAGATGGAGGTGGAGGGGGGTCGAGATCATGTGTTGGCCTCGCTACAAGGCGGTGTGTGGCGGGGCTCTCTCAATGGCTAAGCAAGCCCATATGACCTAACTAACGCTGAGCTCGGATTTAGCGCTGACTCATTTAGTTAATCCTCAGCGACCCCATGTCGGTCCTCATCACTGCAATGGCTGGGATTCTGTTGCTCGCCTTGGGGGTGCAAGTTGGCATGTGGCTTGCGCCATCTACCCAACGTCGAGGCTCTCTGCAGTCGTTCCTCCGATTTGGAGAGCATTCAAAGGTTAATCGACCGTTGGTGGAATCCACAAGCGAGAATGGAACTACCCCACTTTGGGATACCATTGGCAGTGAAGCATACTGGAAGACTCCTCAAGGTCAGGCTCACCTCAAGGACGAGGTCAAGAGAGCTGCTGCTGATGTTGACTCCGTCATGGAGGCGTTGAACACTGTGACAGCGAGCCCGAACATTGTGCGAGCTGTAATGATCTGTTTACCTAGCGATGGTGGCGATAAACGGAATCGCGAACTGAGAGCCCTCTACCTCTCCTGGCTTCTGGCTTTGTCCGAAGAACCTCCTCACTTGCGCACAGATCTCGTCATCTTCACCGACGATCAGGCGGCTGATCTCGCCGCCGGCCTCGGCTGCGTGAGAGATGTCCGACATGACTTCTCAACGCCATCGCGGTGTGTTATCGCCCCTTACACGCCTCTCGAACATCGGACTCGGTCACCTTCCCAACCAGAGGACCCTCTTGTTCGGTATTCTGGCTACATGAATAGCATTCTCAGCTTCGCTGAATACGATGGTTATGCCTACGATTTAGTTCTTCGCACTGATACTGACGTTTTCGTGATGCCGGGTTTCTACAACTGGACACTACCGAGTGACGTCAACATCATTGTGGGTCTAGGCGGATATAGTGTAGAGAATAATGATGCCCACTTATTATATGTATCCAAGACACTCGGATTGCGAAATGAATTCAATCACCGCAATGTGGGCAGTACCTGGTTTGGTAAACTCACGCTCGCTCGAGCCGCCGCCCGTTTGAGTGTGGCTGCCGCACGATGGCTTATTGCGGAGGAATACTCGGAATACGAGAAGTGCTGTGCAGGCATTCTTGGATGGCCTCATTGGCATTGGGGCGTTGTCACTATGTACAGTGGACATCTAGCGCTCAATCATATAGCGCCTTTCGCCAAATCAGGAGATGGGCACGGCAATCTGGATGTCGGGGCGGCTAGTTCCGACCTAGTGTCGGATCCTATGGTCAAACATGTTCACTGCTGGCACTCAAACGATCGCTTTTCCAAGTTTGAACATGAGAATGGGGCGTACGATAGCTACGACCTCACGCCATATATGGAAATGGCTGTTATCAAGGATTTCGCTTTAGTTGTGGCAGTTACTAGTCTGAGGCTTACTCAAACTGAGTTCAAAGATTTTTCCTCAAACCCTGGGACTTTACGTAACAGGTCGAGTTGGCTGCGACTCCTTCCTTAACATTGACAGTAACATTCCATCGGTCTTTGCGCACTCGATTTTCACTTAGTCTTAAATCTTACCGTCGGCTCATCATTGTACAGATTGGTTTTTTTCCGGAGACCACGGAACTTGAACTCCTGTTTTGTTGAAGTAGGGGAGGATCTGTTTGTCAACCGGAAGACTCATCCTGCTGAGGTATATCGGTGTCTAATACTCCTCATCTGCTAGTCGACTTTGTGAGCTTTTAGCAGATGAATCGCCTTAGGACTTGGAAGACCACATGATGGATCTCGTCGGTCTCCAAAACATGATGGTTTGAGTCGATTCGGGTCGGAGTGGGTCCAATCGGAAAAATCGATCGAGTGTGTCCACAACACCGCCCTTGCCCTGAAGTCGCCAGTTCAGTGTATACTTAGCAAGCTCGACTGCTGCTTTAACATGAATATCGGTTCGGGCCCCGACCTGGTAACAGCCAACACCAAGGCGGGTTCCGAGGGAACTGTTCCGAGGAGCCCTACACGTTCTCGACGATCTCCCTCGCGGGGGAGATCTACAATGGAGGTGAAATATCATCAGTTCTGAAAGCTCATCCTGAGTCACTCGAAAATACAAAAAGGGCACACTGTGTGAGCGATGGATAATCGCAGAAGCAGAAGCAGACGACCTCTGACACGACAAGGCGAATAATCATCCTCAAGCGCTCATTAATAATACCCTCCGTTCCAACCGTCTTGAGCAGGTCCCTATGACTTCTCGAGAGGATGTGGACATGACATTGTTCGACCAACATTGGACTTCGCGCCTGCAGCATAGACCGTATACTAGAAAGAAAGAGACTGGCGCATGGGTCGGAGGTTAGCCTTCGTACATCTACACACAAGACCAATATGATACTCTCAGGAGCCTTCCTTGGTCTTCTGGCACTACCATTCGGCCCTATAGGGATGGTTGTCCTCGGTGCTCTAGGTGCCGGCATTGGTACCTTGATCGGTCTAGTGTTGGACAAACGAGAAGTGATGACCATAGTTTTCCTGTCTGGCCCTGCATATCAATCTCAATTCCATCTCAGCAAAGGACCGGCCGTCTGTTAGCATCTCGGGAACATCGCCGACTCAAGTACCTTATACGATACGCTTCAGACCGGTTCTCACACAGCGAAGATCCAGCAGGTTTTCTCGAGAGTGTAAGATTATCGAGGCTACGTTGGAGAAGGGGTATCCCAACATTCAGGTTATCACTGAGTTCAAGCCCGTCGCAGAGATCGGAACAATATCTAACGCAGCCAAGAAGGAACTGGTGAGACTCTTTGTGACACGCTAGAACCTTGTGGGTGCAATCACAGCCAGCAGTTCCCAAGATATGCCTTAGCACAATCAGTTGCGCAGTAGTACGAGAAGAGGAGTTATTGTCGGTCTGATTTAATGAACTCTAATTTCAACGAATTGTGGTACTCCAACTTGTTGATGCTAAGATCTAACCAGTTGATCTAAGATATGGCATTGCAGGACTGCGACTCCACCTAGAAGAGACTCTAGTGAGTATTCAGTGGCAGTTTGCCCCTGGAAATTAACGATGGCACACTTGACCCCAAACAAGGCCCGTCTTATTCGCAGCGGAATCGATACTCCCGAATGGACCTGTACCGACGAAAGCGATTGTACTGAGGCATATCTTTGAGTACCGGTGGCATAGCCGCCCCGGCTGACGAAATTGACTGTACTGTGGCATATCTTTGAATAGCGGTGGCATAGCCGCCCCGGCCGACAAAATTGGCTGTACTGAGGCATATCTTTGAGTACTGGTGGCATGGCCGCCCCGGCGGACGAAATTGACTGTACTGAGGCATATCTTTGAGTACTGGTGGCATAGCCGCCCCGGCTGACGAAATTGACTGTACTGAGGCATATCTTTGAATACCGGTGGCATGGCCGCCCCGGCTGACGAAATTGACTGTACTGAGGCATATCTTTGAGTACTGGTGGCATGGCCGCCCCGGCTGACGAAATTGACTGTACTGAGGCATATCTTTGAGTACTGGTGGCATAGCCGCCCCGGCTGACGAAATTGACTGTACTGAGGCATATCTTTGAGTACTGGTGACACAGCCGCCCCGGCCGACAAAATTGGCTGTATTGAGGCATATCTTAGTGCACTAGTGGCATAGCCGCCCCCGGTCGAATGAATTGATCTTACTAGGAGCTAGGATTTACATCATTTAGAGGCCTATTAGCTCTTAGTATGTTCATACATACGGAGGCGCTCCCTCGCTCCTCCCCATTAGACACTCCTTTGCTGCTTCCTCTGTCGTGATGATGTCCATCGATGTCTATGGATATATGTGGAGGACTTCTTGCAAGTGATAACATGTGCATGGGCCGCTTGAGAATCATGATAGAACTGGCGAACCTTATCAAGCATTGACTTCCTACACATCTGCGTGGACATACTGGGAACTCTGGTGGCGATGGACGAGGCATTGTCGTCAAAGCCGCATTTCGAAGTGGTGAAACGAATGAAGGCTTTCATTGAGCATCCCAATATTAAGGTGACGATTTTTTTGCTGAGATACTCAGTTAAACTAGGCCAGTTCATCATATTTGTACCACCTCAGCCCATATACGAGCACTCTCAGTGGCACCCACCACCTGCGACACAGAAAGTCATCGAGAGCCTCGTGTAGGTCACTCCAGTCATACATGCATTGTTGGCGTACTACAGATATAAGGATGCTCTGGAACGAGAAAGACGAGAGCCAGAGCGGGGCAGTCTCCATGAGGCGGTAGAGAAAGCTAAGGGAGCCGCCGATCATGACTACCTTCAGTTACGCAAGGCAACATCACAGATGAGCAGACCGTGGAGAAGGGCGTCGGATGCTCTCTCAATTGGAGGTTCCCTATCGAGCTACCGTGGGTCAAATATACTCTCATTCTCAGTCGAAAACGGTGAAGTCGATACACCCTACGTGTCGCCGGCCTCCAGCTCTAGGTCGGTCCTGCAGTCAACCCCTGGGGCCTTTCCTATGCGTTTCAGAGGTCGAAATCTCGATGACATCCACGGGACTGTTCGGGGAGCGAATCTGCCTGTACGACGCTCAGGCCACATATCGTACTCGTCATGTAGGTCCTGTCGACAGGAGCAACCAATGAGGGAGACAATGCACCAGAAAGGATTTGCCTTTCCGCAGTACACAGTAGCAGCGCCTGCTCGATTTACTCTCGGGACCTCTGCCGCTCGCTACTTCACCACATTCATATCAGGCGAATCGGGAAGTCTTTTTCGAGTGCTTTGACGATTTCCTCAACTTCGACATTGAGCTCAAGCATAAGCTACCCATAGGCTTGGTGACACTGGTCGTGTCAGCTAGTCTCACCGTTCAATGCAGGGAGAGTTTCGATTCCTTGAAGAAAAGGAGAGAGAGTCTTGTGGCGGCTGGGATGTCTGCATCGATAAGGCGAAAATCAAGGCAGGTGTTGCTGCAGTGCTCTGGAAAAGTTGGCCTCACTCAGGTGGTCAAGCTTAAGTCTGACGGATCGCCATCAGTGCTCGTTCGAGCCTGGGCTACCGTGACGAACACTCCAGCTGAGCTCGTACTCTACCATATTCATGACTTCAAGTGACAGTAACAGCACGCTCTTCCGTTCTGAGAGTCTTCCCAGGAGGCGCGTCGAGTGGGACAAAACTTTCAGTGAGATGAGATTGTTGAAACCATCCAGAAGCGATGAATTCTCCGACACTCTCTACTGCGTCCTGCGGGTTCGTCCTCATTCCTTGCATCCCTCTGTTAGAGTCGCTTTCAGGCCCCATTCGGTGTGCAGCCAAGGGACTTCTTACAGTATCGTCGCATGATCGTCGATCCCTCCAAAACCAACCTAGACGGCAAGCGTTTCTTGATTCTCATGCGCAGTGCATCTCGCGCAGAGCTGCCAGAAGTACAGAAAATACCTCGGCCGAACGCGGTAAAGCCTTGACCAGGTCGCTCAGTACATCAGAGCCGAGACTGTTATTTCGGGCTACATAATCGAGCAGGCCGCAGGTTGCAATGACACGTCACTTTTCATACTGTCTCAGACGGACATCAAAGGCCTGATACCAAAGTGGATCGTCAATACTGCTGCCGGCCGTGTTCCTGTCCAATGGTAAGCACCTCCGATATCAGGGCAGAGTGTTGACAGTGTCAACTTGACACATCAAGTTTCTCATGACGTACAAGTGTAGCAGCAATGCGTCTGTTATGCTGCTACGTATGTAATTTTCTGCCGTTGTCGTGTGCTATCATCTTGACTGGATCCATTGTTGGTTAAATGGTGCTCGCGTACCCCTTCACTCGACGGATCTAGATGCTCCTATTCGATTTCGTTCAAGAACTGAGTCAATGTCCTAGTGCGCTGATTGTGTCTCAGGGTCGAGAGTCTCGAGGAGGCATGCCGGAAGTACCGTTCACAACACACTGACTATGCCCGCTTAATGGAGATCTACTTAGCTCAGCATGTGCCCTCGATCTCTCGACATGTGGAGACAACGAGCCTATGATATGTTATTGTCATGGTGAGATCCTCTCTAACCCTGCATTGTGTCGCGTCATCAGTTGAGCACTCTAGTGCTATCCAGTTGATACGACGAAGCGATTGTTCAATCAATTGTAGCAAGCGGTTTCAGTGCTCTGTTTATATATCCGGCCGCCGCAACTTAATGAACAAGAACTCGAGATGAAATAATATTAATGAAAGTCAAATAAACATTATCTCCCATCTTTAAGATAGGATCGAGCGATAACAGGCCTCAAAGAGCTAATTTCGACGCGCAATAGGAAGCCTCCTTGATACGAAAGGCGACGACAGCGAAAATGATCAGAGACACCAGTAGTCTACTAATCGAGTCATCGAGCATATAATTGTACAATGACTGTGATACCCACGATCACAAGCAGGGCTGTGATGAGGGCTGCCCAGAAGGCGATACACCGAGATCGTCCACGCGATCCACTTCCATCAGCTTGCGTGAGAAATGCAAAACGCTGCCCTCGTCGCTGCAGGTATATCTGTTCATCGTCTATATCGTGTAAGGCTGGGCTCTTGGTACCAAGCACTCTTGGCGGTGGTATCGGCGGACGCTGAGGGGTGTTCACCCGTGGATCCTCTGGAGCTTTGGAAGCCATTACGAAGGGTGGCAAGAGAGCTAACCGCAATAGTAAGCCTCATCCGAACTCGAAGAGAACAATGATCATGGTGAAAACGTGCATAAATTCATCAGCAAATCTAGTCGCCAGGAGGAGGATAATCGACCCCGGCCTGAGAGTTGGTGGTCTCCATATCTGTGTCGGAAGGGGAGCCCTCGCTCGGCTCAGCACGGCTGGATTCTATCGTAGTCACGCTCGGGTATCGATCGTAGAGTTCAAGTAAGACTCCGACAGCTTCCTGCGCTAGGCATCTCTTCAAAGTCGCCGCCGGTCCCATCCGGACACGCTGCCTCTCCGTCCACCTGAAATTCGATCTCACTTCGGCGGAGCGGAGCAGTAATGATGTCACATTTTGAAAAGCTCAGTGGCGTTCTCCCGAGTAGTTCGACGTGTGGTAGCGGTCCCGGCAAGATCTCGCTCGGCCAACATATGCATAGCCAGAGGAATAACAGTGGTTTGACATTCCTTATTCGACACTCTAAGATTCCCCTCCAGACACCGTAGCGCCTCAACGACCTCGGACTCTTTTGGCTGCTGAGGTTCCGTCCAGGCCGCTGCCGCCACTGCACTCTGCAAGCGGGAGACCGAGCTAAGGTCCTCTAACGTGAGCTGATCCTGTTGTGAACTAAACAGTAATGTACTAGGCTCGCCGCCCTCAGTGGGGACGGCGGCCGCCTCGACTCGTCTGGATGCTTCTACTTCTAGAGTGGCTCGACGGAAATCAGTACAAGACGACGGTGGCGGCAAGTCGGAGCTCTGAAAGCGGCCAATGATGACAGTGAACCATCCCATGGTGATCGATAATTTTCAATCACGATTCGGGAGGCAAGTTGCCAGCCCAAGTCGAGCGATGATAGTCACAAAAAATTTCCCCACACTGAGCCGACACACCTCAACGTCCGCGCCATAGAGGGCCTCGGCAAGCTGTAGAGCTACGGCCATGACCATCCTAGGAGACGGCCGAGGGATAGGCAGCTGCTGCGGACTCGACTGTACGAGTAGTCTGTGGAGTGGTATTCGCTGACAGAATACGAAAGGGATGTCCTACGGGGAAGAGTCCAGGTCGTCCCAGAACTCTATAATCTCCCGTCGACGTATCGGCTGAGGCCGGAGTTGCCTCGGAAGGTCTTCAACCGATCGAGCCGTGAAGACCACTGGGCGGCGGGAAGCCGCTATGAGCTGACCGAACAGAGAGCCGTAACTGACATGAAGCATGGGTATGAAACTCTTGTTGGCGAAATGTAAGGGGACCAAGAGGCTTCCCACCTGCGGTCATTGGCGACAATAGCATCAACGTCATCAACTAAGAGTAGCTGTAGGAGGCCGGTGTTCAACGGAGCATCTCCCTCAGGACTAGGCGAACACTTGCCGTCGGAGCTCGAAGCGACACTAGGCTGACTCCCTCGGAGATCGACGGAGCTGACCAGGTGGTGGACACACTAACAAGTAGGTAGGAGTGGATAAGCCAACACCTGCTCTTGATGGCTTCCTCAATCATAAGGCCGACTTGGACGGTGTGACCCGGTGGACAGGAGTCGACGGACAGCTCTACCACTGCTACGCCAGCCTGAGGGGAGCGGAAAATTTCGGCAACCCGAGAACCCCGTTCTGGATGTCGAGGAAGGAGTGCCCAGAATTGAACTCACGACCTTTCGAGTGCTAGTGTAACCACATTACCTCTCGAGCTGCAGCGTAGACTAAGCTGGTCTTGCCACAGCCGGTGCCGCCAGTGATAACAACACTGCATCCAAAAGGGGTGTAAGTCGGGCCGCTGACGACCCCCTCGGCATCAGAGGTATCTGACTGTCGCCGGCCCCGCTTGCCTCGACTCTTACTCGGAGGCTCGAAGACCAAAACCGAGCCGTCGCATCCATAACACATTTCTGAGGACAGAGAGAGCAACCGGCTTAGTGCCAAGGTGGCCTACGACGCCTGAGACCCCGACTGCCATTGGTCCGTCCCTTGCTGCCTTTCTTCTGTATCCAGCCGTCATCATCAGCCCTGAAGGGATACGTAATACGCAATCGAAAGGACGCAAGCATACTCGGGCGCTCCTGGGACTTTTGAACTCGTCGCGGCGGCTTCCTGAGAATAGGCACAGCAGAAGTCGCAGGTTCGAATCCCAGGGCCGACATCTCCATCATTACCCCAGCCTTCCGTAGGCGCTTCGATGCTGCCGCTGTAGCTACCGCAGTGGTGGCTGCCTCCATGCGACGACGATCCCGAGCAGTATCCGCTCGCTTTACCCACAGCTTGAGCCACTTGGCTAAGGCGTGCTTGTGGCGTGCGGAAGGGGGCAGGAGATGGTGCCGATTCCAATTCTTGTGATACTGTCTGCAGTCCTCGTGAGCATTCATCCGGTCTGAAGGGCATCCCATGTCGAGACCAGTACAGGACGATGATTAATAATGCCTGAGGGTATCCGGGCTGCCAGCCATTGATGCGTATCTTGGGGCTCGAGCGGGGCCGACCAGGCACGGGCGTCTCGAGGGACCATCATCGCCCCTACGGCCTCTTCGATATCATCACGTCGGACCTCGTCCCAGGAAGGGAGAGGGCCTATGCTCTTGCCCACTACCTGGCTGCTGGCGACCGTAGATGGCACCTGAAAGCTCAGCTGATGACGGTCGGGGTCCCTCTAGGATGACGTACTTCGGCCGAGGACCGGGAGAGCATCTCGGGGGCTTCCTCAGGGACGTGGCTGGGGCGGCTCGACCAGAGAGGGGTCATGGGAGGGTCGACTTGTTCGTGAGCAATGTAATTGATGGATCCACAGAAGGGGGATGGAGAGACTCCCTTGAGCTCTACAGGGACCTCCGACCGGCGGCTGGGCTGGGAGGACGCTAACATGATTCGGAGAATTTCAGCATTCCGAAAGTTCGACAAGATTCTGAGCATCGCGCCTACCACTGCTGCGTCCAGAAAAGATGCCGAATACAGGTCCTGTAGACTTCGATGAGCCCGCGACCTTCAATGGAGCCGCACTGTACTCAGTCAAGACCACCTTGGGCGGAGGAGGAGGAGGCAACACCGACTCAGCCTCAGAGGTAGAATACTCCGATTCCGACTCAGGTGATCGTCGAGGCCTATTCCGGGCCTTTGGCTTAGCTCGGGCCACCTAGAGAGGGTCTCTACTATCACTGCCGACTGGCCATGGCTCCCTGCCTGTTTCCGCCGTCGTGGAGGAGGAGGGGGTTCGTCATCCTCTTCTGAGGCGTCCTCAATGACGTACTTCACCTGGCCAACAGGGTCGTTGCTCAAACGATGGCTGCCCTGTTCCAGGCCGACCCGCGAGACACGCCTCTTCCGACCACCCCTGGTCTCCTCTACAGCGCCCTTCTCCTCTGCCAGCTTCTTCTCAGCTGCCATCCGCAAGCGTTCGCTCTTGGGCGCGAATATCGGGGCCAGTGGCTGAATGCGACGATCATATCGTCGAAGGCACTCGGAGGCCACCCTACGACAGTCTTCTTCTCCGGAGGCGGACTCTTCCCCATCGTTTCCCCTAAGAGTCCCCCTTCCTCCTCTATCACCGTTTCCTCAGTCGCCTCCGGTGACACCTCCGCCTCCCTCTCCTGTGTCACCAGCTTCCTCTCCTCCTCTTCCGCGTCCTCCGTCGTGTTGGCTGTCTCTTTGGCTTTACCCTTCCCCTTCTCAGACGGCTGTAATGGCGACCTCCTACTTTCCACCTCCCATAGCAGTTACCTTCCGAGCCTTCCTCTCCTTCCGTGGTCTCTCACTGGTCTCAGTGACCTTAGCCGCCTCCAGCTCCGCCTCCCTCCTCTTTAATGCTGCCAGGCGTTCTTGTGGGGGTAGGAACATCGGAGCAAGGGGCTGACCATAGCCACGGCCATCGAACACACCCACCACAGCTAAGCCATACCAAAAGGGGCTTCTTCGTTGCCTCAGTCGGTTTCGTCTCTGCCACAGCCGGTAGTCCCTCCTTGTCGTCGTCATCCGAAGATAATTCCTCCACTGTGGTCGACTCGGGAGCCTCTACCGTACCCGCCTGAAGAGACCTGCCTTTGTATCGTTATGAGCTATAGGAGAACCCACGGTGTTGTCCGTCATTGATATGAGCGGCCGAGTTCGGGTTTGATCGTGACGTCAAGATTCGATTGCATAAACGAGCTTCGCTCCGCTCGAATTTGTTTGCACGAATATCATTTTTCCTCGATTGGAAATTCAAGTGCTACCCATCTGGTCGGCCCCACCAGTGCATTTCATCTCATCCAACTTTCATTATTCCTCTTCCTCGACAGCGAACATACCACAGCCATCGAGGGCCTTCCTCAGCCGCCGAGGCACCTATCACCACGACGACCAACAACCGTCCCCGCAGTAGCCATCATCCTGGTGGCGACCGGAGCGGTAGGGAGGGGACTTGTTCGTGACCATAGCCAGGGTTCCAATCTGAGTTCTATTGGGCTTGGAGTGGTATGAAGAGGAAGTTACTGGCAGGTTCGTCAACTCCTGAACTCAGCTCGAACGACCGACCCCGAAAAGGGGGAGGAGGGCGGTCGCATCTGTATCACCATCATCATCGGAATCACCGTTATCACCGTAGGAGACGAAGGTGTTTATTGCAGTAGTTGACCTGTAGGGCCTCATACACCGCCCTTTGAGCCAAGGGAGTTGACCAAGGAGGACCGGACAGAGGTCGAGAACACTATCAAGGTGAGGAGACGCCTCATGTGGATTTGTAAGTTGTGCGAGGTGAGGTACGCTTGGGTATGCTCCCGACCCCTGCGCACTGTGAAGAAAAGGAAGATTCTTCCATCTCCTCTTCCTCCTCCTCTACGTTGCACGGTAAATCACCGTCTCGTTCTCCATCACCGGAGAGCACCACCGCCGCGGCACCGGTGGCCACTGAGTCCGACGACCAGTCGAGCCACGACAAGGGCGACTCTAGCGGTCGAGACGACAGCCTGAGGTGACTTAGTCTTACTCCTAGGGTGGTTGATAGTAGCCTCTCGTGTTAGGTCCAGTCGTCAGAACAGTATGGAGCCACCTAAGGGCCGTGGTGGAAGGCAGGAGTCCTCCAGAGGAAGGGTTGAGGATGGTAGAGTCTCCCTTGCTGAGACTGAGGAGGAGTCCTCAGTCGATACTGGGGAGAGTGAGGATGTTCCCTCTACTGTAGAGAGGGGTGGCTCGGGGCAGGAAGACGATAGTGGCTCCGGTCTAGAGGAGGTGGGGGTAATTTTGTGGCGCGCGGTCATGGAATTTGTTCAGGGCACTCCTATGGCCGATCCACTCCTTCACGGTACCGCCAGGGCTGAGACTGACAGTGTTGCGGACAGGGTAGTACAATTTCGTGGCGCGCGGTCACGGCTATGGTGCCTCAGGTTACCGTTGACGTTGGACTATTTATGCATTTCGTCGACTCATACAGTGTCAGTGGTGACAATCTCAAACGTATCACCCTTTCTAATGAGGTTGGACTCTTACGAGGGCTTTCTCTACAATCCTCTCTGTATGTAGATCGAGCACGCCTTGGCCAGCTTCCATCCGTACCACCTTGCTCACTGCCGCATCAAGACTATCGTCTTCGGCTCGTGAGTGGTCGAGAGCGACGGGCTGGGGCGGTTACTGGTGCTCTCCAGGTACGCCTACAATTTGCATCTGCCTTGGGCTAGTGATTTGGATTTCGTGTTGATACCGACTAGATCGAACCGTCGTCGGAACAGTGGTGATGGTGGATCGTCACCAAGCTCGGTGAGTAGCTGTGGTATCCTCCCTAGATTGTTACGGTCCCTTCAGGTGAGCTCAAGTATGTGTGGCGGAAACCACAACCCTGAGATTACATGTACGCCCGAGGAGCGACTAAAGCTGTTGTACCTAGTAGCTCAGCACTTGGAGAGGAGGCTAGGTCAGGGTACTATCGGGGAGAGGGTGGGTATGATGGTTACCTCCTACGTCTAGCTCCCTTATTGGGGTCACCAAGTGGACCAAATATTACTTCTAGTGATACTCATCGGTGGGGATGAGTCCCGTAGGGTATTCCGTGAATATTCCCACTGTAATCTACGACAAGCCTCTCCGCATTTTGAGGCGTGGCTGCAATCGCTTCAGTTCTTTACAACTTTTGGGGGCCTTTTTCACAGTGGTATTCGAAATTGTTATGGTTGGTGGGTAGATGGGGGAAAATTCGTCTATAGTGGACGAATCCGGCGAACTTGAATTCATCAATAGTGCGGTAGCTTTCAGGGTTGTTGAGCTTCCACTATTTTTAGCATTGAACTCTGGAGCTCACTAGGTTTGTTTTAGGTGTTTTGGTGAACACCCCTGTGGTCATTGCATCATCGCGAATTCCTTTGTTGACTCTACAGTGCAAGGGGCCGGCCCAGTCAGCAGCTGAGAAGAAATGGTAGGATATGATGAAGGTGTGGTATGAACTTAATGCGGAATAGGTGCTCGACTTGCGAGGGCGGCTTTGGGGAGTGCTGTCCTCTACATTCCTCGGTTAAAGTGCAGATATCTGTCACAGGACCGGCACACAGTGGTAGTAGCTGTGGGGGGATCCTATACGGTGACCGCGTTCTCTTTGGAAGGTATCGAGACTTCGGCGTACGTAGCTATGCTCTGCCAGCATTATGATTGCCTCCGGCCTCTGGTGTTGGTGATAAAACACGTCTTGGTCTGTGACGGGCTGGTGACGCCGTACGATGGTGGGATGAGTAGCTACACGCTGGTGAGTATCTTAGGTTGTGGTGTGGTAAGATTCAGAATAGGTCCTCATGGTGGTATCTTTCCTAAATCAATTTTATGGCAATAACGCTTCTCACCAGAACGTATCATTGGGTCAGCTCTTGTTGGGTATGCTCTACTGGTATGGTGGGGAGGAGGACCCTTGTGTGGAGGAGGCCCATCTTGAGGGTGGCCGACAATTCCTGGATAAAGTCAATCTCATACTCTCTGACGGTGCGTAGCCGGTCGTCGTTCCCCCCATGGAGATGTGATTGCCATAGGCACCTGCATGCGGTCGTTCTCGGCGAGCCGATTGGCAATAAGGCCGGTCGCAGCGGAGACTCACTCGCACTTCTGTGAGCGGTCGGAGGACCCTATCCTGGCCTCGCGGTTCGCTACGGACATGATGGTCATCCTCGACCCTCTTGCTTTGAATGGTAGTAGTAATATCGACTCAGTAGAGCAAAGTAGAGGGAAAAGGTCTTAGCGGTTCTAATAAGCTTTAACAAGAGGGGGGACTATCTCAGTAGTAAATGTGATACTCTATGTGGTAGTAAGCTCGACCTTCCGAGAGCATCCCTGTTGTTGGCGACCCTGCCATGAATCGACTTTAGGTGATTACGTCAATCTGGGTCAGTCAGTGTGGCGATGGCCGGCGGTGGCAGCAGCATTCCGCTGTGCTCGCCGCAGCTTTGAATGTGGCGGTTGGTGGGGACAGAAGTAATAACTCAAATCGATCAATCGGGCGCGCGCGTAGTGTATATGGCAATGTGCAGATATGGTTTGGCGACTCCTCCTGTATGGGTGGCAGCACGTCGGGCAGGGTTCCCCTCGCCGACCTTGAGTGGTGTGAATGAGCCTAGGGCGAGCGCTACTTCCATTCACACAGGTGATACACTACATCATCAAGGGTGCTTTACGTTGGTGTTGTTGTAGAGGACACCGCTAGGAAGACCGAGGCAACGGGGCCTAGTAGTGTAAGTACTGTGGGATGATTAACAGGGATTGGATGGACGACTTAATAATAATTCACTTCACGTGTAGGTCGTTATTGCTGGGTTGTGATTGCTATCGTGGGTTATATAGGTTCCTTTATCTCTTCTGAAGGTTGCTCTCATGCCTGCTGACCAGTGCTGTGATGAGTGAATCTGAAATAGCCGGAAACATCTACTACTACTATTGTTGTTGTTATCAGCAGCATTGTGAGATATGGTCAGCGGCGTGGTTCACTGTACGATATCTAAAAGAAAAAATCGTGCCTGTTCTTTTCCTCATTGTAGTATTGGTATACCATTGAGACGGTCCTTTACCTCATAACGACTTCCAGTAAAGATGTCCATAAATGTGCATACTACTATCATTATTATTATCTATGACGATGAGTAGCTCCTCATCATCTCTCTCGGTCAACGTCGCGCAGGCCCTATTAGGGTCTACTTCTATCGTGTCTCGCTGCTTTACGTAGTACAGTATCTACCCTACTACTGCTATAACCTCTGCCGTGTATTTCCCTATCCTCTCTCGAGTCGTGTTGGTCAACGAAATTGATGAGTCTTCAGCCATAAATATGCTCCTATGGGTATCGTTAATGCTAACTCGGGCACTGTTCTCCAGTGCTACTGCTGGTATCGAGAGCTCAGCTCTGCCGGCCTTCTACCACACAACAGCCGACATAATGGCTAGGCTGAAGGCCTTGCAAGGGAAATGCCCAGGCATGGCCATTGACCGCGAACAACAGCATGGTGAGCATCGAGAGCTCTCTTATGGAAAGAGTACCGGTGATTTCAGGCATTGCTATGACGATTGTGCGCCTAGGAGCTGTCGGGGGTGATGTTGGGAAAGCGCCAGGAGAAGCTCTTCTTGTTTTCGGCGAGCACGCCCGGTACCTCTCACCGTGGCGGACTGCGTTTTGAGGATGCTCTTTGGGTCAGGGAATTGATATCTTCCGAAATTGCTCTGCAGCTGATTCAGCGTATATGCGATATTCGCTCTACAGGGGCTCCCAGTGGAGACCCTCACGCCAAAGTAGGAATGAGTGTAGCTGCGGCACTTCAACTGTTCTTCCCACAGGCTGCGCTCCGGGCAATTACAATCGTACCTGTGGTGAACGAGGGGGGCCGATCATTGGTGATGGGCAAGGGCCAGTGGTGTTGGCGAGGTGCCGCCTCTACTACTCTGGTTTGGTCTACTGTTTTGTATCAGGAAACGAGAATGGCGTCGATTTGAATAGGAATTTCGGCGGGTCTGCCCACTGGTCTTCGAAACTTCGCTCCGCTGAGGAAAATTCAGGCCCATCCCAATTCAGCGAGCCCGAGACCAAGGTGAGTATACTTTGAGAGGCTTTGAAGTATTCTCTTATCAGATACTCCGCTCGCTGATCGACAAGACATCTCCAGAGTTTTTCCTCTCGGTCCACTCGGGCATGCTCGGCCTCTTCTATCCATACGCCTACAGCCCCTCGGCCCACCCATCCACTGCAGGGGCTCTTGAAAGGGTCCTCGATAGGGTCGCTGATGACGGCTGCCAGTGCCCTTCTGGTAGGGTGGTTTATGCTCTACATCGTCAGATGTGCTGTTGTCAGGGCAAGCTTCCATCGAGATTGGCCATGGCGCGCCCGGCTCCAGTTTGGACTATGCCTTCAAGGATGGTGGTGGTGCTAGGTTCGCTTATGCGGTCGAAGTTTATTCAGACCCGAGCCGTCGGGGGGCCTTCCATAAGGAGTAGGGCTCATTTGGTGTTTGCCGTTGTCTGATCGTCGTGTGTAGGTATAAGGAACGGAAAAAGGATGGGGCCTCTCCTGTCACGTATCTGACGAGTATCTCGTCGGCCGACTTTGGGCCGATCGATGGGGAGAAGTGTTTGGAGTATTTCAACCCCATTGCGGAGAACGAGTGAGCCGTCCCGGAAATGTCTTGTGGTCTCGAAGAGTGTCTTAGATACAATGAAGTGCTGCAAACATGGTCAACGAACATCCTAGAGATGATGCAGTTGGCTTCAGAGGAGACCGGCACACCGCCCATCCTTCGTGGGATATCACCACACAAGAATGATCATGTTCGAGTCGGCTAACCGACTGTTCTACCATGCTGTGCATGATAATACGGAGGATGATTAATACGATTGTTGAGTTCTATCGAGTCACCATATGGCCTTTGAGTAATCGTCGTTGTGACCGAAAAGGAAGATAATACTTCTCCCGAAGTATACTTTCGGTATTTTCCTGAGGACTATTCAAACCTTTCCCCGGGCACGAACTCGAAAAATATCGGATATTATAACCAAGCACTGCTAACATTTCTCAATGCATGACGTTTATGAAGTGTGAGGCACGAAGCGAGAGTGTCGAGAGAGTCCCCAATGGCAAGCCTCTCGAAGTGTATTCGTATGGGACGGCATGGGACATAGTGGTGATGGTGGCGATCTATGAAGGACATGATGATATAGTACTACTCAGATGCATCATCCTGATCAGTCTGTTACTGGCAATATAACGCGGTTCAATGGTAGACACTTCCTCGAGAAAGCGCGGCAAACGCATTAGATGCCCAAAGCACTCACGGTTAGTGTAATGGAGTTCCTCTCGTGCATCGGCTAAATCTTCGAACCGGCGTAAGAGCTTGGCAAGCTCCGATGCCGGGGCGTCGAAAACGGCACCCCTAGGAATCCTGAAGCATCGAGATGATAATTTTCTGAGTAGCATCACATCCCTCGATAACTTTCACAAGTATATTGATGTGGGATGATACCACTCCATAGCCAACATTCGCTGGCGTGATGTGCAGGCTAAGCTGATGCCCTGTGTATTCATGCTAGTCTAACTAATCCTTGTTGTCAGTGTTGGACATTAAGCATGCACACACACCTACTGGGCCCAGTCGGATATCGTCCGATTATCCCAATCCACTCGGTAGACTCTTAGAACTGGTAGCTCCTTGCCAACTTGGTGTGCCACACACATTGGAAGATCCTCTCCTGGTGCTCCGTCCCTGAGATGATTATAGTGATGCCTCTGGATACATCAAGGGCCATCGTCGTCGTACTCATCAAGACATTGCATCGTGTCTATTTGCATCCTACCATCGGGGAGTTCGTTCACGGCTGCTTTTACCTTGTCAGCGACATTCTGAAATCAATTCCTTAACCCCAGCAAATCGGAGCAGCTACTCCGTTTACTCCATGTTGGTTGTCTCCACTGAATCGAACCACGAGATACGGTGGTGGCTCCTCGAAGACCTCGGCAGGGTGCTCTCCCATATTGTGCTTTGGTATCGGCATTTCCTGACGAGCCCTGTATAACAGCCCGCCTATATTCATACTCACTCCTGGTGCAGTCTCCATGTATCTGTGATGCAAGGTGTTTCTCAGCATGTTATTCGACAAAGGCCCCAAACGGTGTGGCAACTCTGTCGGTAAGATGATCCTTCCCATGTGCTCTTGTATTGGATATATGTGTCCGACGTGTAAGGGCATATGAGAGGTGCACAGTCGGGCTTGCACTCACTCGTGAATAGGGGCGTGCATCGCGTTGGCTAGTGCTGCTCAGTGCAGAGACTCAGACGACACTGTAGGAACTCAACACAAGCGAGTTGGATCATAACACGGGTCGAAACAAGCAACACGTTATTGGAGAAACTGATGAATATATGATACGATCATACATTCTCCAGAGATCTCACTCACGGACATGTCAAATCTACTGAGTTCTTTCCAGAGCACGTCATAGCTTCTGCTCGCCGAGTCGCTAGAGTCATCGGGACCACTCATAAAAATCCCAGCCACCGTATGATCTAAAATCGTGATGGAAGGGATCTACTCTCTCATCCTAGAATTTCCTCTTCACGCTTAGCACACACGAGTTAACAACAACGGAGACGAGAATGAAGTCGACAACATAGTGAGGAAATAGTTGTTGCTGCGCAGTGTGAAGAAGTCCCCATTTCCAGAATCGATCAAAGACCCGCGCATAGAACACTCTCACTAGCCGAATAGTGTACGTAACCGCCGTGACTTCAGGACCAGATACACCCAACAAGACGGCTGCATCGCCATCGCACAGGGCACAGTGAGCTATAGACTAGTATTGGACGCATACTCATTCCAATGCAGGAACGATCTCCCTAGGCCGGGAATTCATCAGTAAACTACGGCCAAATCTTCAGCAGAAACTATTTTTGAGTGACATCGATACGAACATGCACACCAAATCTGTTGCAGAATGCTTCCACCAGTTTGCACTGGTGTTCTGAATACGCATAATGCTCCTGGTCGACTCGCCGATTAATCATCTTTATAAGAGGTGACCACTCCCGGACAGTATCGCCGTCGAGGGACGCCATCAGCCGTACAAGTCGGTACACCTCAGCCTTGCCGTAAGTAGCCATATTATCTTGAGCGAATTGGAGTACTGCAGTGACGGTAGCACGCAACGCTTGCTTCCGCCATAAGAGGCCCCACGTCAGAGCGGTGACTATGGTAGGGTTCCTGAGACACCAGTGATGTCACAGACGGACACAATCAAATTAAACCATCCATGAAATCCAATGGCACTATGGGAGTCATATATCAGTTGCATGCAGCTCCCGAGCTATCGGAGTCACTTTCCCTTTGAGCAAATTGTATGTCATCTCAGCAAGATCAAGCTGTGTCAATGGAGAACTCACCATGCCGGGATTTCTCTCACGACGATCGGTTCCATAACGTGGAAGAAATTAGGGAGAGACACTGGGTAGATCTCGGTCTCAAGCTTCGCCACAGCCACGAAGCATTTGACCAAAGGCTCTGCGCCCCATTGGCTCACTGCCACTTCCCGGGGAATAGTCGCCAAAACAAGCTCCCAAAATTCAAGCTGGGAGTAGGCCATGCGGTTACTGAAGAGGAACGCCACTGGGAGAGACAAGCGAGGCATTGCTTACGCTGCCTCGACAATGACGCTGATGATGATCTGATCGTGGCTATGCATAAGCTCACGTTCACATCTCGTCCCTGGGCCGAACAATTCTTGGAGGAAAGCTGTGGATGGTCGATGGACCACCGCGGGCAACATGCTGAGCACACGGATGAGCTCTCCGATCCTCAAGCCGCTCATGCAAGCCGGCATTCCCCTCGATATTGCCATCTCAACGGCTTTACCTGAGGCACGAACACGGTGAATCATCTCAGCTCTTTTCTCGTCTCATGAGGAGTCGCGAACGATTCTAGGTAATCTTCCACACTCGCACAGTGCGGCACGAAGCCATTGAGGAGTAATGCCTACGCTACGCATTGTTGTGAGTATACCCCATCGTCGTTGACCATTCATAGTCCTACTTTTCAACCCCAACTTCCCAACCACATGAACCAACGATGGTAAGAAGGCACTGTGTGTTATCTCATCTTCCGGTAACTCGCTCAACCGGGAAAGTAGGGCTGATATCTGGAACAACAGGATACGTAAAACGACCAACAAGCCTTCTTAGCTTAGTTGGTAGAGCACCCGCTTAGTAAGCGGGAGGTCGTCGGTTCAACTCCGGCAGAAGGCTTATCGATCAAATATTATACACAGATTTTAGAGTTGCTCGAGTCGAATGATAGCAAAAGTGTGGCTAACGCGTACGACGAACTTACAACCCGCCGATCGTGCCGCTCCAATCTATTGAAGGATGCCAAGTTCGCACATACTTGCTCGAACGACATCTCGACTGCCAGGACGCGAGTGGCCGCAGCCAGACACTGAGATGAATCCACTGCAAATGGCAATGTTTTCCTCCTTACCCTATATAAATCTGAATTCGAATACCGCAACTTTGTAAAGCCCTGGAGGATTGAAGTTAGTGCTAATGCTGAGAGTTTGTGATCATTCCTGACCACCCATGCTGCAACTGGTTCCAACAGTTCAAGCATATCATCTGCATCTATCCGTGGTGATGCGCGGAATCCCTCGCGAGGTCGCGGCGCGAGCGTATCTGAAAAATGCTGCGTTCGACTCGAGAACTCTGGAAAAATCCAACGGCAGGAAAAAATCCAGCAACACTCAGCGTTCGCATTCCGAAAGATGAAATGTGAAGTTAGAATACACGATCGGCAGTTAAAATGCAGAAGCGGTCAACTGCCTACTGTCCTCGCGATACTCAATCATGTTCGCCAATGACGTCATCAAGACGCTGAGCGGGTAGGCCTCCAGCCGGCTCTCGATCACAGGGAACTGGCGAGCCAGCAGACTCACGACCTGAGCGATTGATCGCGTATTAGTATTATAAGTCGAGAACCTCCGGGTTGAAGCAATGAGCCTTGCAATATGCATCAGATATGAGTGCAACATCGTCTGGGGTGGGGTCTGGCAATCCGTTTTCGATCAGTTTCCCTGTGAGAGCGTGCCTGCAGGGGAAAGCGACCATTCAAGAGACCTCCACTGTGCACGTCGTCAAAGAGCTCTGACAGTTCCACTCACCAAAAATCTTCTCTCTGTAGCTTGACCATGGCAAAATGGTTAGTGAGCATCGACACCTCATAGCAGCGAAGAAAGGGAGCTAGCTCCAGGAACTCCGGAGCCCGGCGAATCAACTGGAAGAAGGCAACACAAGTTGCATAGTTTGCACTCCTGACTGATGGATGATCACTTACGCCCTCAGCGTCCTTATCGAGATACAACTCGTGGCACTCTTTCACCCAACTGCTCAATGACGCAATTCGGTCGACTGGAATATGCACAGCCTTGAGTGCACCTGTCCGGCTGATCGAGACGGCCATGAGAGGGATTCAAACTACAATGTAACTCATCCATAATAATCGCCCCGATTTGCACAGCTACAGGTTCCCAGGATTCCAATCCCGCGAAGAGCAGGTGAGCCCGTGTTAGTGGTACTTTTTAGCTGTGAACTGATCAATGTCATCTAGTAACTCCCCCTTCATAAAAAAGGAGCTGATTACTGTGAGTCTCGGATGACACGCCATGTTCTGGCGCGTTCACAATCTCGAATAACTGCTCTTGGAAAAGACAGTCCGTGATCCACGATGTCGATTGCAACGCTGTGATGCCACCACTGTTTGAGGGGTCAGATATAAGTAACCTAGACGTTGAGGCAAAGACGAAAATCAGCTTCGCGTGTATGAACAGGAATATTCCGACAACAAATCACAGCCTTCTTAGCTTAGTTGGTAGAGCACCCGCTTAGTAAGCGGGAGGTCGTCGGTTCAACTCCGGCAGAAGGCTTTGTTTTCCGCACATCAACTCTCCACCTTAGGATCTACTATTTTCTACCTGCTGGCACAGCCATAACTCTCTGGCCAAATAAACCGAATCAGCTAACCGAATGGTCCACTTGTCATACCATCGATTATTGATAAAACAACAACACATTAAACATCAGAAACTCATGTCACCTCCTTCGATGCAGAAACACCCACTCTCTACCTAGTCTCGAGTAGGCCGTCTGGAACACAGCTGCGAGGCCCGGGTCCATCACCAAGGCTCTCATCTCAAAGCGCTCTTCTATGGCGCGGATGAGATTTGCGTGAGCCACTTCGAATACTCCCATCGCCGAAATCAACTGGGATATATCTTTAGCGTTGTACTGGTGCAGTGTTGCATGGGCCCGATCAAACAGTGCTCGTGCGAGCTCAGGATCGCAATGATCTGTCTTCACACATGCCGTTAATAGCGTCGTCACTGCCCTAGGGTGCCTGAGAGACAACCCCGACAAATACCCTCAACAGCAGCACACAACGATAAGAAGCCGCACCAATCAACGATTTGCCTGGGCAGCGCTGGACTGACGCCCTCGAAAAGCCTCTTCCTCATGCTCTTGAATTGTGTGAGGACTTCAGTGGAAACGTTAGAGTTCTCAGATGTCACTCCCAATCTGACCAGATCATTCGCGAGCAAGAGAGTGTCTCCATCATCTTACCTAGCGACAGCATAGAGCACAGATGCAGTCGTTAGTCCCTTCCACTGGGCCCCATTTATCTTCGCTATGGCTTGCTCAACTGCTTCTTCCCACCACCCAACATCATATGTAAACCCAAGCCGCTGTCTGAAGACACTCGTCATGTGTTGGGATATATATTTAGTTTTTTTCCGCTGACCCCCGGACTTCCTCACTACACTACGGAAATATACGCACGACTCAGGACACGTAGGAGTGTGAAAAAACCAACAAGAATTTTTCAAAATTTCCTCAGAATCGTCATACTGTCACCAACACACGGTGAGACCATGTGCATACTCCCCCCACACTGCATGTCAATCTCCAGAATGAGAGTCGAAAAGCCTGGGACCTCAACGATCAAGCTCACTAGACCGTGAGCCAAGCACTCTCAAGTCCACCACAAATATCCCCACTCACGCCGTGAGCATTATCCCGCCCAAGCCTTCCTTCTCATAGCTAGCGATATACTCTCTGCATTTGCCATTGAATATTGCCTCTAGGAACTCCTTATGGGGGACCACTTGAACCAGCCGTGCCAGAGACGGCACAGTGAGCACGATGTCAGTCATGCTCAACAGAGGCATAAAGCGAGGTAGATGCCGCAATATGCTCTCCTCCAACGTCTGGTGGCCTATCCAACAGCAGTGACAAATCCGTCACGCGCCACAAAATTACAGTCCGCTTCCAATCTCAGGAACGCAGTGAGAATTCCCGCAATAAAATTGGATACTTCGGGCAACTCGGACTCGTTCATCTCAGACAAGATAGTCTCAAGCCGTAGACATATCGCTTCCTCCTGAGACGATGATGCCATACCTCAAATTCGACGCCCCACACAGAACCCCTCCAACTTTGAGAAACAAATCTCCCCAGGGTTTAATAACAATGGGGAAAATGTTCCTAATGCGATGATGACATTTACATGGGAGACTGATTGAAGAATGTATTCGTAGTCATGTGGAAAATTCAAAAATGAGTTCCCCTAGGCACATTGGAGTGTCACGACCCTAGTGATATGAAGAACACTAGAGAAAAACATATTTCACGGCTACTGCATATCACCGCGAATATCACATTTTCCACTTCACATTAAAACAGTTGAAACTCCATTATAGGTCTCTGGAAGATTTCCTGTCCCCCTTCCCCTCTCCTCCTCCTCCTACAGCTTCCCAGTCATGCGTAAGACTCCTAGCCATCGCATTGATGACCATAGAGAGCTGCGACAAGTTGAACTCGCTCGCCATCTCGCGAACTCCCGAGACTAGCGCCTGCCAACAAATTCCGTAATCCTAGCACTTTCTGAACTTACCGTAAAAAGGTCTTCTTTATAATACTTTAACTTTGCAAAGCCTTGCATTGACTGCCCCATAGCACACACCTTCAGCTCGCGACGGTTAGCCAATATCCAATCTCCACACGTATCGAGGAAGGCGTCAAGCGCCTTCTTGGGTAGCCGGGATGATGCTCTCCCTCGGTGCTCTCCAACTGACATTCATCATTCGAGAAAAGTGACCGTTGGTAACCTCCTACTCCCGACAATGCATATAGACTCATCCAACCAATGAAAATATTTTTTTCGTCAATCGAAGAAATAATTTTCAACTATTTCTTCCACCCCAAAGAAATAGATATGGCAGGAATATATAAAATCCCTCCGTAGGAGTGCGATACGCCCACTAAACGGGAACCAGTTCTCTCGATCTACTCAAATGCAGAGGACGAAGAATGCTGGGCGATAACACGATTACCTTTCCTGGGCTCGTTGAGCCTGCCCAAGCCATGCAACAGCACTGATATTGTGATATGGTCTATAGTGCCAACCACAGTGAGCAGCTGGTCTGCTAGGAATAGTATGCACTGAATGATACCACATAAACACTGTGTGTCCCGGAAAGCTCACTTTCTCATCGTAGTAGTCGATAGTCGCGAAGGCGTTCACAACGCAAGCAACGTCCCACGCCACAGGGTCTACCATCCCATACTCCAAAACCACACGTGAGACTTCTTTCCTGAGAACAGTGATGAGGGAGAACCACCTAACATCCCCAGTGTATAGGAAATACTGTGCGCAGGGAAGGATACGCATCAATCAATGCATGTAGTAAGTTCTCGGCGAGGCCACGAATACTAGCCGTGAGAATCCTACCAGAAACCTTCCTGTTTATAGCCCATCTTGGCAAAGTGATGAGAAACCAATCCCAACTCCCCCGGTCGCATAGCTGGCATGAAGTGTATCAGCTCAGGAGCTCTAGCAAACATACGCTCCCGAGCTTTGTCATAAAAGTCTGTATGCACCGCGCCGACCAAAGCCTGGACGTCAGTGATATGGTAGAGACAGCCACCCGAGCCTTGAAACGGTCGAGTATACCGCAACTGGGTTGGGATTGCTCTCAAACTCCGTCTCACAGCAGTGGTAGTAGACATGTATTAGAGGGCACTAATTATACTATAGGGGAAGCAAGAATGCCCCAGGGCTAGATAGGACATATATGCATATCGAAACTACTATTTTCACACTTTTCCCGACCTCAAATTCGGCGCGGAAAACCTTCATTCCATCTGTGATAATCCCACAGTTCAGTTTAGTTGCATTTCGAAGTTGTTTACGAAGCTTTCGAACCTTTCTAGAGGAATGAGCTCCCAATCCAGTAACATCGCAACACTACACGGTCTGCTCTACTACGTAGCATAATGGAACGGTCATCGTCATCTCTTCACACGAAGACCCACTGATCGGTGTGCTCGCCACCGACCGAGGCTGGATGGGGGGAGCTGACTGCAGTGGAGTTAAGGAAGGACTGAAAATCATCAGTGCACATGGTTAACTACAATATGAAAATTCCGACAAAATTTCGGAGTTTCTTATTTGTTTTCATACACTTCTACCCGAATTCGTAACTGAACTTTTATAATCTGCAACGAAACTCTCCAACTCAGCTTAGCGGAGCGAAAGCAATTAACTCCAAACCGCCGCATGTACTACTTCGACGAGCATCGACTCCACCAGATCAGCTTCCTCCTCCTCTAGCTCACTATCCTCAACCCTCTCCAACACCCCCAAAGCTTCTTCACTATTCATACCACACCTTTCCAACTTCACCAATTCCTTCAACAACATCGACAGCGCCTCTGGAGGACTATCATCGCTCACTATCAGCTCAGCTATTCTCCGTCCCTCCGGTCGCTCCACCACCGCAGCCAGCTTTGAATAGAAGCCCAGCCTCCCCGGACCCAGCACTGCCTCTCCACCGTTGAGTCTATTAGCTGCTCTAAATACTTCTACCAGACGCCCAACTCCTCCTTCCTCCATAGACATACCATCAAGATAGTCAGAAATAAGAGGCTTCCCAGACGCAGAGACATCTTGTGATCTCTCCAGCCATCGTATAGCCGACAACACGTCCGTATCACTCAGAGCCTCAAACCGTTCCATGCACATTTCAAGTGCCACATTGGGAAGACGATAGTCCAAACTCCTCTTGATAGCCGCCATAAGGTCATTGTCAGTCGGACACATATCCTCTGAAAAACCAGCAAGTCACCATTCTGCGCACAGCGAAGATTTCCTTCTCACTTGCAGTTTCAAGAAGTATCTTCGACAGTTTCCTCCGTGAAACTTTCTCATCATGTAAAGCCGCCGTATAGTCCTCAGCCAGACGATACCCCAGCGCCTTTGGTAGGGCGGGAGAAGTAAGGAACGCCACATAGTCGCTCAGGCGCCTACCAACGACAAGGAACGATAACACTAGACCACCATCGCGATCAAGAGGGAAGCAAAGTCTCGAGCAGCACTACCCGTCTCGGTATCGTTCTACATCACTCTCTGCGGGAAGAGCCTCCGACAGACTACTCGAATAATAGAGTAAATCCACGATGTGGCACACCACCATAGAGCCGCCAAATCTACAACAAACATAATGCCTTATCCCAACACCTAAGACTTCTATTACTCCTTGCAATCCGCTGAGAGCGTGCTCAACAACTCGTTGACATCTCCCGTTAAGCACGCATGCACAACCACGTCCATCGGCGTAACCTAGTGAGAATCATTCACCACAAACTCCACAGAGAATAACATTCACCGCAGCATCCTTCTCATTTGACAACAATGTTGCTGCCGATTCAACGATCGTGCTCACGCCGCCTCCATTCACATTAAGATTTGGGTAGAACCAGAAGTACTCCAGTATCACCTTCAAGTACCTACACGACGACCACCCTTCACGACCGAATACATCATTAAAACGCTACCATGCAGTTCCCGACTCTACTGGTCCTGTCTCGGGCGAGGTTAGCTCGCACATGCTCTTGGTGAGGAACTCCACATCCTGCAACGGGAAAATTCCAAATTGAATGGTAGATAGGAAAAGTTCCCGTATATATATAAAACGTTTGTTACTCATCTTGATCAGTGTAAACAATAAAAAATAATTTTTATTTTTTCATCCACAATTCGGCAATTCTGAATTTTCATGTCCTACACTACGGCACTATGAGCCAAGTAGTACCCAAAACCGAATAATGCGTTTCCGATTACCACCGCTTCGCTCACCTCCTCACTGCCAGCGTTGAGCCTCCATATAAACGCCGTTTGTTCATGCTGTTCACCCATACTGCATATCTTACTCCAACCAGAGTAGGCCAGGTTCCTACCCACACCACTGATTCCGCGCTCCTTTCCAAGCCTCCTTACATTCTATTATCGATCCTTTTCTCAAACTCTGCAGGTGTTCGGCTGTGCGTGGTGATATCATTCATAGAGGGTATATCAGCATAGAAGGTAGCCAGAAGCCTCACATCCTCATACAGTCTGATCAAATGACCATTCAAAAGACGATACAGTACGCGTAGTTCACAAGGTTGAAAATAGGGTTAAGAGCAGTGACACTGGTTCCACTGTAAACTGCGAAAAGAACATTTGGTGAATGCATTAGCATAATGACTGGAATTTAGCATTTTAAAAGTCGCGTACTGTGCACTACCCCAAGGCACAAGACGACCACTACCAAGTACCACAACTTCACCGACGAAGCCTCACTAGCCTCCTCAAACACGCTCAACTGGAGGATCTTATTTTCCCGATATTGGCCACAAAAAATACCGTAAAATTGACTCCTCTGAATATTTCCTCCTTCCTACCCTTTATCAGCCTCATAGTCCTCACTCTTCACTTGCAGCCATTGTGTTAATAGCAGAGCCACGTGCTTTGACATATCCATACATGCCAGGAACTGCACGCACTTCCAAAACTCCTCTTCCGACTCATCCGTGTCCTCTCCCATGAGCAAGTCGTGAGCTCTAGAGGATATCTACAACCACGTCTATGCCTGGGACCCAACACTAAGTAGTGTTGGAGGAAATATACGTTCCCTTTCCTCAGTTGGATTTACTAATCATACCAATTCGCGTAGAAATGTACATACAAAAATCAATCAAAATTCCCCAAAATTTTCTCACAACCAGCACATGTAGTTGACCATGTGCGTATTTCTCCACACAAGCTCTGAGTTCCATAAAAGAATACATTTCCCCATAAACAAGAATGCTCACACTATGCCCCAAAATAGCGATGATTATGATTAGTCCACCCCTGGCTTCAATACTACCTCAGTAATCTCTTGTTCCATGTCGTGATGAGCCACATACCAGTTCAGTAGTCGAGATGCCGTTCCGAAGGACCGAGAGGCCGACTCGTAAATCTACACCATACGAAGGTGTTGCCAGCCGTAAAATGCTACGCCTTACGAGGCGTATATGTTGAAAACTTATGATAATCAACGATACGCCTACAGTTTTGCACTGAAATTTTACTATTGCAGTAATAACAGGTTACTCACTCAGGCTTGCGAAAGAAGGCATCATATCTACGAAGGCGTTCAGTTTACAATTTCTAGCAACAACCTCGCTACCATACACTATGCCCGAAGTCTACCACCATACACTATGCCCGAAGTCTACCATACACTATGCCCGAAGTCTACCACCATACACTATGCCCGAAGTCTACCACCATACACTATGCCCGAAGTCTACCATACACTA